GGTTAAAAACAGGGATTTCTAGGAAAATAAGTGATATTTTAGGTAAAAAAAACAGGGATTTCTATGGAAATAAGCGATATTTTAGGTTAAAAACAGGGATTTCTATGAAAATAAGCGATATTTAAGGGGAAAAACAGGGATTTCTATGAAAATAAGCGATATTTGAGGTTAAAAACTGGGATTTCTATGAAAATAAGCGATATTTTAGGTTAAAAACTGGGATTTCTATGAAAATAAGCGATATTTTAGGTTAAAAACAGGGATTTCTATGAAAATAAGCGATATTTTAGGTTAAAAAGAGGGATTTCTAGGAAAATAAGCGATATTTTAGGTTAAAAACAGGGATTTCTATGAAAATAAGCGATATTTAAGGGGAAAAACAGGGATTTCTATGAAAATAAGCGATATTTTAGGTTAAAAACAGGGATTTCTATGAAAATAAGCGATATTTGAGGTTAAAAACTGGGATTTCTATGAAAATAAGCGATATTTGAGGTTAAAAACTGGGATTTCTATGAAAATAAGCGATATTTGGGGATAAAAACTGGGATTTCTATGAAAATAAGCGATATTTTAGGTTAAAAACAGGGATCTCTATGAAAATAAGCGATATTTCAGGTAAAAAAAACAGGGATTTCTATGGAAATAAGCGATATTTGAGGTTAAAAACAGGGATTTCTAGGAAAATAAGGGATATTTAAGGGGAAAAACAGGGATTTCTATGAAAATAAGCGATATTTGAGGTTAAAAACTGGGATTTCTATGAAAATAAGTGATATTTAAGGTTAAAAACAGGGATTTCTATGGAAATAAGCGATATTTTAGGTTAAAAACAGGGATTTCTATGAAAATAAGCGATATTTGAGGTTAAAAACAGGGATTTCTAGGAAAATAAGCGATATTTGAGGTTAAAAACAGGGATTTCTAGGAAAATAAGTGATATTTTAGGTTAAAAACAGGGATTTCTATGGAAATAAGCGATATTTTAGGTTAAAAACAGGGATTTCTATGAAAATAAGCGATATTTGAGGTTAAAAACAGGGATTTCTATGAAAATAAGCGATATTTGAGGTTAAAAACTGGGATTTCTATGAAAATAAGCGATATTTAAGGTTAAAAACAGGGATTTCTATGGAAATAAGCGATATTTAAGGGTTAAAAACAGGGATTTCTATGAAAATAAGCGATATTTGAGGTTAAAAACAGGGATTTCTAGGAAAATAAGCGATATTTTTGGTTAAAAACAGGGATTTCTAGGAAAATAAGTGATATTTAAGGGGAAAAACAGGGATTTCTATGGAAATAAGCGATATTTTAGGTTAAAAACAGGGATTTCTATGAAAATAAGCGATATTTGAGGTTAAAAACAGGGATTTCTATGAAAATAAGCGATATTTTAGGTTAAAAACTGGGATTTCTATGAAAATAAGCGATATTTTAGGTTAAAAACAGGGATTTCTACGGAAATAAGCGATATTTTAGGTTAAAAACAGGGATTTCTACGGAAATAAGCGATATTTGAGGTTAAAAACAGGGATTTCTACGAAAATAAGCGATATTTTAGGTTAAAAACAGGGATTTCTATGAAAATAAGCGATATTTAAGGGGAAAAACTGGGATTTCTATGAAAATAAGCGATATTTGAGGTTAAAAACAGGGATTTCTAGGAAAATAAGCGATATTTTAGGTTAAAAACAGGGATTTCTATGAAAATAAGTGATATTTAAGGTTAAAAACTGGGATTTCTATGAAAATAAGCGATATTTGAGGTTAAAAACAGGGATTTCTATGAAAATAAGCGATATTTTAGGTTAAAAACTGGGATTTCTAGGAAAATAAGCGATATTTAAGGTTAAAAACAGGGATTTCTATGGAAATAAGCGATATTTTAGGTTAAAAACAGGGATTTCTAGGAAAATAAGTGATATTTGAGGTTAAAAACAGGGATTTCTAGGAAAATAAGCGATATTTTAGGTTAAAAACAGGGATTTCTAGGAAAATAAGTGATATTTTAGGTAAAAAAAACAGGGATTTCTATGGAAATAAGCGATATTTTAGGTTAAAAACAGGGATTTCTATGAAAATAAGCGATATTTAAGGGGAAAAACAGGGATTTCTATGAAAATAAGCGATATTTGAGGTTAAAAACTGGGATTTCTATGAAAATAAGCGATATTTGAGGTTAAAAACTGGGATTTCTATGAAAATAAGCGATATTTTAGGTTAAAAACAGGGATTTCTATGAAAATAAGCGATATTTTAGGTTAAAAAGAGGGATTTCTAGGAAAATAAGCGATATTTTAGGTTAAAAACAGGGATTTCTATGAAAATAAGTGATATTTAAGGGGAAAAACAGGGATTTCTATGAAAATAAGCGATATTTAAGGTTAAAAACAGGGATTTCTATGAAAATAAGCGATATTTTAGGTTAAAAACAGGGATTTCTATGAAAATAAGCGATATTTGAGGTTAAAAACTGGGATTTCTATGAAAATAAGCGATATTTTAGGTTAAAAACTGGGATTTCTATGAAAATAAGCGATATTTGGGGATAAAAACTGGGATTTCTATGAAAATAAGCGATATTTTAGGTTAAAAACAGGGATCTCTATGAAAATAAGCGATATTTCAGGTAAAAAAAACAGGGATTTCTATGGAAATAAGCGATATTTGAGGTTAAAAACAGGGATTTCTAGGAAAATAAGGGATATTTAAGGGGAAAAACAGGGATTTCTATGAAAATAAGCGATATTTGAGGTTAAAAACTGGGATTTCTATGAAAATAAGTGATATTTAAGGTTAAAAACAGGGATTTCTATGGAAATAAGCGATATTTTAGGTTAAAAACAGGGATTTCTATGAAAATAAGCGATATTTGAGGTTAAAAACAGGGATTTCTAGGAAAATAAGCGATATTTGAGGTTAAAAACAGGGATTTCTAGGAAAATAAGTGATATTTTAGGTTAAAAACAGGGATTTCTATGGAAATAAGCGATATTTTAGGTTAAAAACAGGGATTTCTATGAAAATAAGCGATATTTGAGGTTAAAAACAGGGATTTCTATGAAAATAAGCGATATTTGAGGTTAAAAACTGGGATTTCTATGAAAATAAGCGATATTTAAGGTTAAAAACAGGGATTTCTATGGAAATAAGATATATTTAAGGGTTAAAAACAGGGATTTCTATGAAAATAAGCGATATTTGAGGTTAAAAACAGGGATTTCTATGAAAATAAGCGATATTTTTGGTTAAAAACAGGGATTTCTAGGAAAATAAGTGATATTTTAGGTTAAAAACAGGGATTTCTATGGAAATAAGCGATATTTTAGGTTAAAAACAGGGATTTCTATGAAAATAAGCGATATTTGAGGTTAAAAACAGGGATTTCTACGGAAATAAGCGATATTTTAGGTTAAAAACAGGGATTTCTACGGAAATAAGCGATATTTTAGGTTAAAAACAGGGATTTCTACGGAAATAAGCGATATTTTAGGTTAAAAACAGGGATTTCTACGAAAATAAGCGATATTTTAGGTTAAAAACAGGGATTTCTACGAAAATAAGGGATATTTTAGGTTAAAAACAGGGATTTCTATGAAAATAAGCGATATTTAAGGTTAAAAACAGGGATTTCTATGAAAATAAGCGATATTTAAGGGGAAAAACAGGGATTTCTATGGAAATAAGCGATATTTAAGGGGAAAAACAGGGATTTCTATGGAAATAAGCGATATTTAAGGGGAAAAACAGGGATTTCTAGGAAAATAAGCGATATTTGAGGTTAAAAACTGGGATTTCTATGAAAATAAGCGATATTTAAGGTTAAAAACAGGGATTTCTACGAAAATAAGCGATATTTAAGGGGAAAAACAGGGATTTCTATGAAAATAAGCGATATTTAAGGGGAAAAACAGGGATTTCTATGAAAATAAGCGATATTTTAGGTTAAAAACAGGGATTTCTAGGAAAATAAGCGATATTTTAGGTTAAAAACAGGGATTTCTATGGAAATAAGCGATATTTTAGGTTAAAAACAGGGATTTCCATGAAAATAAGCGATATTTGAGGTTAAAAACAGGGATTTCTAGGAAAATAAGTGATATTTTAGGTTAAAAACAGGGATTTCTATGGAAATAAGCGATATTTGAGGTTAAAAACAGGGATTTCTATGAAAATAAGCGATATTTGAGGTTAAAAACTGGGATTTCTATGAAAATAAGCGATATTTAAGGTTAAAAACAGGGATTTCTATGGAAATAAGCGATATTTAAGGTTAAAAACAGGGATTTCTATGGAAATAAGCGATATTTAAGGGTTAAAAACAGGGATTTCTATGAAAATAAGCGATATTTGAGGTTAAAAACAGGGATTTCTAGGAAAATAAGCGATATTTTTGGTTAAAAACAGGGATTTCTATGAAAATAAGCGATATTTTAGGTTAAAAACAGGGATTTCTATGGAAATAAGCGATATTTGAGGTTAAAAACAGGGATTTCTATGAAAATAAGTGATATTTTAGGTTAAAAACAGGGATTTCTATGGAAATAAGCGATATTTTAGGTTAAAAACAGGGATTTCTATGAAAATAAGCGATATTTAAGGGGAAAAACAGGGATTTCTATGGAAACAAGCGATATTTTAGGTTAAAAACAGGGATTTCTATGAAAATAAGCGATATTTGAAGTTAAAAACAGGGATTTCTATGAAAATAAGCGATATTTGAGGTTAAAAACAGGGATTTCTATGAAAATAAGCGATATTTAAGGTTAAAAACAGGGATTTCTAGGAAAATAAGCGATATTTGAGTTTAAAAACTGGGATTTCAATGGAAATAAGTGATATTTTAGGTTAAAAACAGGGATTTCTAGGAAAATAAGCTATATTTGAGGTTAAAAACAGGGATTTCTATGAAAATAAGGGATATTTGAGGTTAAAAACAGGGATTTCTATGAAAATAAGCGATATTTAAGGGGAAAAACAGGGATTTCTATGAAAATAAGCGATATTTGAGGTTAAAAACAGGGATTTCTATGGAAATAAGCGATATTTCAGGTTAAAAACAGGGATTTCTATGAAAATAAGCGATATTTGAGGTTAAAAACTGGGATTTCTAGGAAAATAAGTGATATTTGAGGTTAAAAACAGGGATTTCTATGAAAATAAGCGATATTTGAGGTTAAAAACAGGGATTTCTATGAAAATAAGGGATATTTAAGGGGAAAAACAGGGATTTCTATGAAAATAAGCGATATTTGAGGTTAAAAACAGGGATTTCTATGAAAATAAGCGATATTTTAGGTTAAAAACAGGGATTTCTATGAAAATAAGCGATATTTAAGGGGAAAAACAGGGATTTCTATGAAAATAAGCGATATTTGAGGATAAAAACTGGGATTTCTATGAAAATAAGTGATATTTGAGGTTAAAAACAGGGATTTCTATGGAAATAAGCGATATTTTAGGTTAAAAACAGGGATTTCTACGGAAATAAGCGATATTTTAGGTTAAAAACAGGGATTTCTACGAAAATAAGCGATATTTTAGGTTAAAAACAGGGATTTCTATGAAAATAAGCGATATTTGAGGTTAAAAACAGGGATTTCTATGAAAATAAGCGATATTTAAGGGGAAAAACAGGGATTTCTATGGAAATAAGCGATATTTAAGGGGAAAAACAGGGATTTCTATGAAAATAAGCGATATTTAAGGGGAAAAACAGGGATTTCTATGAAAATAAGCGATATTTTAGGTTAAAAACAGGGATTTCTAGGAAAATAAGCGATATTTAAGGGGAAAAACAGGGATTTCTATGAAAATAAGCGATATTTGAGGTTAAAAACAGGGATTTCTAGGAAAATAAGCGATATTTTAGGTTAAAAACAGGGATTTCTATGAAAATAAGCGATATTTAAGGGGAAAAACAGGGATTTCTATGAAAATAAGCGATATTTGAGGTTAAAAACAGGGATTTCTAGGAAAATAAGCGATATTTTAGGTTAAAAACAGGGATTTCTATGAAAATAAGCGATATTTAAGGTTAAAGACAGGGATTTCTATGAAAATAAGCGATATTTGAGGTTAAAAACAGGGATTTCTATGAAAATAAGCGATATTTTAGGTTAAAAACTGGGATTTCTAGGAAAATAAGCGATATTTAAGGTTAAAAACAGGGATTTCTATGGAAATAAGCGATATTTTAGGTTAAAAACAGGGATTTCTAGGAAAATAAGTGATATTTGAGGTTAAAAACTGGGATTTCTAGGAAAATAAGCGATATTTTAGGTTAAAAACAGGGATTTCTAGGAAAATAAGTGATATTTTAGGTAAAAAAAACAGGGATTTCTATGGAAATAAGCGATATTTTAGGTTAAAAACAGGGATTTCTATGAAAATAAGCGATATTTAAGGGGAAAAACAGGGATTTCTATGAAAATAAGCGATATTTGAGGTTAAAAACAGGGATTTCTATGAAAATAAGCGATATTTGAGGTTAAAAACTGGGATTTCTATGAAAATAAGCGATATTTTAGGTTAAAAACAGGGATTTCTATGAAAATAAGCGATATTTTAGGTTAAAAAGAGGGATTTCTAGGAAAATAAGCGATATTTTAGGTTAAAAACAGGGATTTCTATGAAAATAAGCGATATTTATGGGGAAAAACAGGGATTTCTATGAAAATAAGCGATATTTAAGGTTAAAAACAGGGATTTCTATGAAAATAAGCGATATTTTAGGTTAAAAACAGGGATTTCTATGAAAATAAGCGATATTTGAGGTTAAAAACTGGGATTTCTATGAAAATAAGCGATATTTTAGGTTAAAAACTGGGATTTCTATGAAAATAAGCGATATTTGGGGATAAAAACTGGGATTTCTATGAAAATAAGCGATATTTTAGGTTAAAAACAGGGATCTCTATGAAAATAAGCGATATTTCAGGTAAAAAAAACAGGGATTTCTATGGAAATAAGCGATATTTGAGGTTAAAAACAGGGATTTCTAGGAAAATAAGCGATATTTTAGGGGAAAAACAGGGATTTCTATGAAAATAAGTGATATTTGAGGTTAAAAACAGGGATTTCTAGGAAAATAAGCGATATTTTAGGTTAAAAACAGGGATTTCTATGAAAATAAGCGATATTTGAGGTTAAAAACTGGGATTTCTATGAAAATAAGTGATATTTAAGGTTAAAAACAGGGATTTCTATGGAAATAAGCGATATTTTAGGTTAAAAACAGGGATTTCTATGAAAATAAGCGATATTTGAGGTTAAAAACAGGGATTTCTAGGAAAATAAGCGATATTTGAGGTTAAAAACAGGGATTTCTAGGAAAATAAGTGATATTTTAGGTTAAAAACAGGGATTTCTATGGAAATAAGCGATATTTTAGGTTAAAAACAGGGATTTCTATGAAAATAAGCGATATTTAAGGGGAAAAACAGGGATTTCTATGAAAATAAGCGATATTTGAGGTTAAAAACAGGGATTTCTATGAAAATAAGCGATATTTAAGGGGAAAAACAGGGATTTCTATGAAAATAAGCGATATTTGAGGTTAAAAACAGGGATTTCTATGAAAATAAGCGATATTTCAGGTTAAAAACAGGGATTTCTATGAAAATAAGGGATATTTAAGGTTAAAAACTGGGATTTCTATGAAAATAAGCGATATTTGAGGTTAAAAACAGGGATTTCAATGAAAATAAGCGATATTTAAGGGGAAAAACAGGGATTTCTATGAAAATAAGCGATATTTTAGGTTAAAAACAGGGATTTCTATGAAAATAAGCGATATTTATGGGGAAAAACAGGGATTTCTATGAAAATAAGTGATATTTAAGGTTAAAAACAGGGATTTCTATGAAAATAAGCGATATTTAAGGGGAAAAACAGGGATTTCTATGAAAATAAGCGATATTTAAGGGGAAAAACAGGGATTTCTATGAAAATAAGCGATATTTAGATGATAAAAACAGGGATTTCTATGAAAATAAGCGATATTTTAGGTTAAAAACAGGGATTTCTAGGAAAATAAGCGATATTTGAGGTTAAAAACAGGGATTTCTAGGAAAATAAGCGATATTTAAGGTTAAAAACAGGGATTTCTATGAAAATAAGTGATATTTAAGGTTAAAAACTGGGATTTCTATGGAAATAAGCGATATTTGAGGTTAAAAACAGGGATTTCTATGAAAATAAGCGATATTTAAGGGGAAAAACAGGGATTTCTATGAAAATAAGCGATATTTGAGGTTAAAAACAGGGATTTCTAGGAAAATAAGCGATATTTGAGGTTAAAAACAGGGATTTCTAGGAAAATAAGCGATATTTTAGGTTAAAAACAGGGATTTCTATGAAAATAAGCGATATTTTAGGTTAAAAACAGGGATTTCTATGAAAATAAGCGATATTTGAGGTTAAAAACAGGGATTTCTATGAAAATAAGCGATATTTGAGGTTAAAAACTGGGATTTCTATGAAAATAAGCGATATTTAAGGTTAAAAACAGGGATTTCTATGGAAATAAGCGATATTTAAGGGTTAAAAACAGGGATTTCTATGAAAATAAGCGATATTTGAGGTTAAAAACAGGGATTTCTAGGAAAATAAGCGATATTTTTGGTTAAAAACAGGGATTTCTAGGAAAATAAGTGATATTTTAGGTTAAAAACAGGGATTTCTATGGAAATAAGCGATATTTTAGGTTAAAAACAGGGATTTCTATGAAAATAAGCGATATTTGAGGTTAAAAACAGGGATTTCTACGGAAATAAGCGATATTTTAGGTTAAAAACAGGGATTTCTACGGAAATAAGCGATATTTGAGGTTAAAAACGGATTTCTACGAAAATAAGCGATATTTTAGGTTAAAAACAGGGATTTCTACGAAAATAAGCGATATTTTAGGTTAAAAACAGGGATTTCTACGAAAATAAGCGATATTTTAGGTTAAAAACAGGGATTTCTATGAAAATAAGGGATATTTTAGGTTAAAAACAGGGATTTCTATGAAAATAAGCGATATTTAAGGTTAAAAACAGGGATTTCTATGAAAATAAGCGATATTTAAGGGGAAAAACAGGGATTTCTATGGAAATAAGCGATATTTAAGGGGAAAAACAGGGATTTCTATGAAAATAAGCGATATTTAAGGGGAAAAACAGGGATTTCTAGGAAAATAAGCGATATTTTAGGTTAAAAACTGGGATTTCTATGAAAATAAGCGATATTTTAGGTTAAAAACAGGGATTTCTACGAAAATAAGCGATATTTAAGGGGAAAAACAGGGATTTCTATGAAAATAAGCGATATTTTAGGTTAAAAACAGGGATTTCTATGAAAATAAGCGATATTTTAGGTTAAAAACAGGGATTTCTAGGAAAATAAGCGATATTTTAGGTTAAAAACAGGGATTTCTATGGAAATAAGCGATATTTTAGGTTAAAAACAGGGATTTCCATGAAAATAAGCGATATTTGAGGTTAAAAACAGGGATTTCTATGAAAATAAGCGATATTTTAGGTTAAAAACAGGGATTTCTATGAAAATAAGCGATATTTGAGGTTAAAAACAGGGATTTCTATGAAAATAAGCGATATTTGAGGTTAAAAACTGGGATTTCTATGAAAATAAGCGATATTTAAGGTTAAAAAAAAGGGATTTCTATGGAAATAAGCGATATTTAAGGGTTAAAAACAGGGATTTCTATGAAAATAAGCGATATTTGAGGTTAAAAACAGGGATTTCTATGAAAATAAGCGATATTTTTGGTTAAAAACAGGGATTTCTATGAAAATAAGCGATATTTTAGGTTAAAAACAGGGATTTCTATGGAAATAAGCGATATTTGAGGTTAAAAACAGGGATTTCTATGGAAATAAGCGATATTTTAGGTTAAAAACAGGGATTTCTATGAAAATAAGTGATATTTTAGGTTAAAAACAGGGATTTCTATGGAAATAAGCGATATTTTAGGTTAAAAACAGGGATTTCTATGAAAATAAGCGATATTTAAGGGGAAAAACAGGGATTTCTATGGAAACAAGCGATATTTTAGGTTAAAAACAGGGATTTCTATGAAAATAAGCGATATTTGAAGTTAAAAACAGGGATTTCTATGAAAATAAGCGATATTTGAGGTTAAAAAAAGGGATTTCTATGAAAATAAGCGATATTTAAGGTTAAAAACAGGGATTTCTAGGAAAATAAGCGATATTTGAGTTTAAAAACTGGGATTTCAATGGAAATAAGTGATATTTTAGGTTAAAAACAGGGATTTCTATCAAAATAAGCTATATTTGAGGTTAAAAACAGGGATTTCTAGGAAAATAAGTGATATTTTAGGTTAAAAACAGGGATTTCTATGAAAATAAGCGATATTTTAGGTTAAAAACAGGGATTTCTATGAAAATAAGCGATATTTAAGGGGAAAAACAGGGATTTCTATGAAAATAAGCGATATTTGAGGTTAAAAACAGGGATTTCTATGAAAATAAGCGATATTTCAGGTTAAAAACAGGGATTTCTATGAAAATAAGCGATATTTTAGGTTAAAAACAGGGATTTCTATGAAAATAAGCGATATTTAAGGGGAAAAACAGGGATTTCTATGAAAATAAGTGATATTTAAGGTTAAAAACAGGGATTTCTATGAAAATAAGCGATATTTAAGGGGAAAAACAGGGATTTCTATGAAAATAAGCGATATTTAAGGGGAAAAACAGGGATTTCTATGAAAATAAGCGATATTTAGATGATAAAAACAGGGATTTCTATGAAAATAAGCGATATTTTAGGTTAAAAACAGGGATTTCTAGGAAAATAAGCGATATTTGAGGTTAAAAACAGGGATTTCTAGGAAAATAAGCGATATTTAAGGTTAAAAACAGGGATTTCTATGAAAATAAGTGATATTTAAGGTTAAAAACTGGGATTTCTATGGAAATAAGCGATATTTGAGGTTAAAAACAGGGATTTCTATGAAAATAAGCGATATTTAAGGGGAAAAACAGGGATTTCTATGAAAATAAGCGATATTTGAGGTTAAAAACAGGGATTTCTAGGAAAATAAGCGATATTTGAGGTTAAAAACAGGGATTTCTAGGAAAATAAGTGATATTTTAGGTTAAAAACAGGGATTTCTATGGAAATAAGCGATATTTTAGGTTAAAAACAGGGATTTCTATGAAAATAAGCGATATTTGAGGTTAAAAACAGGGATTTCTATGAAAATAAGCGATATTTAAGGTTAAAAACAGGGATTTCTATGGAAATAAGCGATATTTAAGGGTTAAAAACAGGGATTTGTATGAAAATAAGCGATATTTGAGGTTAAAAACAGGGATTTCTAGGAAAATAAGCGATATTTTTGGTTAAAAACAGGGATTTCTAGGAAAATAAGTGATATTTTAGGTTAAAAACAGGGATTTCTATGGAAATAAGCGATATTTTAGGTTAAAAACAGGGATTTCTATGAAAATAAGCGATATTTGAGGTTAAAAACAGGGATTTCTATGAAAATAAGCGATATTTTAGGTTAAAAACAGGGATTTCTACGGAAATAAGCGATATTTTAGGTTAAAAACAGGGATTTCTACGAAAATAAGCGATATTTTAGGTTAAAAACAGGGATTTCTACGAAAATAAGCGATATTTTAGGTTAAAAACAGGGATTTCTATGAAAATAAGCGATATTTAAGGGGAAAAACAGGGATTTCTATGAAAATAAGCGATATTTAAGGGGAAAAACAGGGATTTCTATGGAAATAAGCGATATTTAAGGGGAAAAACAGGGATTTCTATGAAAATAAGCGATATTTAAGGGGAAAAACAGGGATTTCTAGGAAAATAAGCGATATTTTAGGTTAAAAACTGGGATTTCTATGAAAATAAGCGATATTTTAGGTTAAAAACAGGGATTTCTACGAAAATAAGCGATATTTAAGGGGAAAAACAGGGATTTCTATGAAAATAAGCGATATTTTAGGTTAAAAACAGGGATTTCTATGAAAATAAGCGATATTTTAGGTTAAAAACAGGGATTTCTAGGAAAATAAGCGATATTTTAGGTTAAAAACAGGGATTTCTATGAAAATAAGCGATATTTTAGGTTAAAAACAGGGATTTCTATGGAAATAAGCGATATCTTAGGTTAAAAACAGGGATTTCCATGAAAATAAGCGATATTTGAGGTTAAAAACAGGGATTTCTATGAAAATAAGCGATATTTTAGGTTAAAAACAGGGATTTCTATGAAAATAAGCGATATTTGAGGTTAAAAACAGGGATTTCTATGAAAATAAGCGATATTTGAGGTTAAAAACTGGGATTTCTATGAAAATAAGCGATATTTAAGGTTAAAAAAAAGGGATTTCTATGGAAATAAGCGATATTTAAGGGTTAAAAACAGGGATTTCTATGAAAATAAGCGATATTTGAGGTTAAAAACAGGGATTTCTAGGAAAATAAGCGATATTTTTGGTTAAAAACAGGGATTTCTATGAAAATAAGCGATATTTTAGGTTAAAAACAGGGATTTCTATGGAAATAAGCGATATTTGAGGTTAAAAACAGGGATTTCTATGGAAATAAGCGATATTTTAGGTTAAAAACAGGGATTTCTATGAAAATAAGTGATATTTTAGGTTAAAAACAGGGATTTCTATGAAAATAAGCGATATTTTAGGTTAAAAACAGGGATTTCTAGGAAAATAAGCGATATTTTAGGTTAAAAACAGGGATTTCTATGAAAATAAGCGATATTTTAGGTTAAAAACAGGGATTTCTATGGAAATAAGCGATATCTTAGGTTAAAAACAGGGATTTCCATGAAAATAAGCGATATTTGAGGTTAAAAACAGGGATTTCTATGAAAATAAGCGATATTTAAGGGGAAAAACAGGGATTTCTATGAAAATAAGCGATATTTGAGGTTAAAAACAGGGATTTCTAGGAAAATAAGCGATATTTGAGGTTAAAAACAGGGATTTCTAGGAAAATAAGTGATATTTTAGGTTAAAAACAGGGATTTCTATGGAAATAAGCGATATTTTAGGTTAAAAACAGGGATTTCTATGAAAATAAGCGATATTTGAGGTTAAAAACAGGGATTTCTATGAAAATAAGCGATATTTAAGGTTAAAAACAGGGATTTCTATGGAAATAAGCGATATTTAAGGGTTAAAAACAGGGATTTCTATGAAAATAAGCGATATTTGAGGTTAAAAACAGGGATTTCTAGGAAAATAAGCGATATTTTTGGTTAAAAACAGGGATTTCTAGGAAAATAAGTGATATTTTAGGTTAAAAACAGGGATTTCTATGGAAATAAGCGATATTTTAGGTTAAAAACAGGGATTTCTATGAAAATAAGCGATATTTGAGGTTAAAAACAGGGATTTCTATGAAAATAAGCGATATTTTAGGTTAAAAACAGGGATTTCTACGGAAATAAGCGATATTTTAGGTTAAAAACAGGGATTTCTACGAAAATAAGCGATATTTTAGGTTAAAAACAGGGATTTCTATGAAAATAAGCGATATTTAAGGGGAAAAACAGGGATTTCTATGAAAATAAGCGATATTTAAGGGGAAAAACAGGGATTTCTATGGAAATAAGCGATATTTAAGGGGAAAAACAGGGATTTCTATGAAAATAAGCGATATTTAAGGGGAAAAACAGGGATTTCTAGGAAAATAAGCGATATTTTAGGTTAAAAACTGGGATTTCTATGAAAATAAGCGATATTTTAGGTTAAAAACAGGGATTTCTACGAAAATAAGCGATATTTAAGGGGAAAAACAGGGATTTCTATGAAAATAAGCGATATTTTAGGTTAAAAACAGGGATTTCTATGAAAATAAGCGATATTTTAGGTTAAAAACAGGGATTTCTAGGAAAATAAGCGATATTTTAGGTTAAAAACAGGGATTTCTATGAAAATAAGCGATATTTTAGGTTAAAAACAGGGATTTCTATGGAAATAAGCGATATCTTAGGTTAAAAACAGGGATTTCCATGAAAATAAGCGATATTTGAGGTTAAAAACAGGGATTTCTATGAAAATAAGCGATATTTTAGGTTAAAAACAGGGATTTCTATGAAAATAAGCGATATTTGAGGTTAAAAACAGGGATTTCTATGAAAATAAGCGATATTTGAGGTTAAAAACTGGGATTTCTATGAAAATAAGCGATATTTAAGGTTAAAAAAAAGGGATTTCTATGGAAATAAGCGATATTTAAGGGTTAAAAACAGGGATTTCTATGAAAATAAGCGATATTTGAGGTTAAAAACAGGGATTTCTAGGAAAATAAGCGATATTTTTGGTTAAAAACAGGGATTTCTATGAAAATAAGCGATATTTTAGGTTAAAAACTGGGATTTCTATGGAAATAAGCGATATTTGAGGTTAAAAACAGGGATTTCTATGGAAATAAGCGATATTTTAGGTTAAAAACAGGGATTTCTATGAAAATAAGTGATATTTTAGGTTAAAAACAGGGATTTCTATGGAAATAAGCGATATTTTAGGTTAAAAACAGGGATTTCTATGAAAATAAGCGATATTTAAGGGGAAAAACAGGGATTTCTATGGAAACAAGCGATATTTTAGGTTAAAAACAGGGATTTCTATGAAAATAAGCGATATTTGAAGTTAAAAACAGGGATTTCTAGGAAAATAAGCGATATTTGAGGTTAAAAAAAGGGATTTCTATGAAAATAAGCGATATTTAAGGTTAAAAACAGGGATTTCTAGGAAAATAAGCGATATTTGAGTTTAAAAACTGGGATTTCAATGGAAATAAGTGATATTTTAGGTTAAAAACAGGGATTTCTATCAAAATAAGCTATATTTGAGGTTAAAAACAGGGATTTCTAGGAAAATAAGTGATATTTTAGGTTAAAAACAGGGATTTCTATGAAAATAAGCGATATTTTAGGTTAAAAACAGGGATTTCTATGAAAATAAGCGATATTTAAGGGGAAAAACAGGGATTTCTATGAAAATAAGCGATATTTGAGGTTAAAAACAGGGATTTCTATGAAAATAAGCGATATTTCAGGTTAAAAACAGGGATTTCTATGAAAATAAGGGATATTTAAGGTTAAAAACTGGGATTTCTATGAAAATAAGCGATATTTGAGGTTAAAAACAGGGATTTCAATGAAAATAAGCGATATTTAAGGGGAAAAACAGGGATTTCTATGAAAATAAGCGATATTTTAGGTTAAAAACAGGGATTTCTATGAAAATAAGCGATATTTAAGGGGAAAAACAGGGATTTCTATGAAAATAAGTGATATTTAAGGTTAAAAACAGGGATTTCTATGAAAATAAGCGATATTTAAGGGGAAAAACAGGGATTTCTATGAAAATAAGCGATATTTAAGGGGAAAAACAGGGATTTCTATGAAAATAAGCGATATTTAGATGATAAAAACAGGGATTTCTATGAAAATAAGCGATATTTTAGGTTAAAAACAGGGATTTCTAGGAAAATAAGCGATATTTGAGGTTAAAAACAGGGATTTCTAGGAAAATAAGCAATATTTAAGGTTAAAAACAGGGATTTCTATGAAAATAAGTGATATTTAAGGTTAAAAACTGGGATTTCTATGGAAATAAGCGATATTTGAGGTTAAAAACAGGGATTTCTATGAAAATAAGCGATATTTAAGGGGAAAAACAGGGATTTCTATGAAAATAAGCGATATTTGAGGTTAAAAACAGGGATTTCTAGGAAAATAAGCGATATTTGAGGTTAAAAACAGGGATTTCTAGGAAAATAAGTGATATTTTAGGTTAAAAACAGGGATTTCTATGGAAATAAGCGATATTTTAGGTTAAAAACAGGGATTTCTATGAAAATAAGCGATATTTGAGGTTAAAAACAGGGATTTCTATGAAAATAAGCGATATTTAAGGTTAAAAACAGGGATTTCTATGGAAATAAGCGATATTTAAGGGTTAAAAACAGGGATTTGTATGAAAATAAGCGATATTTGAGGTTAAAAACAGGGATTTCTAGGAAAATAAGCGATATTTTTGGTTAAAAACAGGGATTTCTAGGAAAATAAGTGATATTTTAGGTTAAAAACAGGGATTTCTATGGAAATAAGCGATATTTTAGGTTAAAAACAGGGATTTCTACGAAAATAAGCGATATTTTAGGTTAAAAACAGGGATTTCTACGAAAATAAGCGATATTTTAGGTTAAAAACAGGGATTTCTACGAAAATAAGCGATATTTTAGGTTAAAAACAGGGATTTCTACGAAAATAAGCGATATTTTAGGTTAAAAACAGGGATTTCTACGAAAATAAGCGATATTTTAGGTTAAAAACAGGGATTTCTATGAAAATAAGCGATATTTAAGGGGAAAAACAGGGATTTCTATGAAAATAAGCGATATTTAAGGGGAAAAACAGGGATTTCTATGGAAATAAGCGATATTTAAGGGGAAAAACAGGGATTTCTATGAAAATAAGCGATATTTAAGGGGAAAAACAGGGATTTCTAGGAAAATAAGCGATATTTTAGGTTAAAAACTGGGATTTCTATGAAAATAAGCGATATTTTAGGTTAAAAACAGGGATTTCTATGAAAATAAGCGATATTTAAGGGGAAAAACAGGGATTTCTATGAAAATAAGCGATATTTTAGGTTAAAAACAGGGATTTCTATGAAAATAAGCGATATTTTAGGTTAAAAACAGGGATTTCTAGGAAAATAAGCGATATTTTAGGTTAAAAACAGGGATTTCTATGGAAATAAGCGATATTTTAGGTTAAAAACAGGGATTTCCATGAAAATAAGCGATATTTGAGGTTAAAAACAGGGATTTCTAGGAAAATAAGCGATATTTGAGGTTAAAAACAGGGATTTCTATGAAAATAAGCGATATTTGAGGTTAAAAACAGGGATTTCTATGAAAATAAGCGATATTTGAGGTTAAAAACTGGGATTTCTATGAAAATAAGCGATATTTAAGGTTAAAAACAGGGATTTCTATGGAAATAAGCGATATTTAAGGGTTAAAAACAGGGATTTCTATGAAAATAAGCGATATTTGAGGTTAAAAACAGGGATTTCTAGGAAAATAAGCGATATTTTTGGTTAAAAACAGGGATTTCTATGAAAATAAGCGATATTTTAGGTTAAAAACAGGGATTTCTATGAAAATAAGCGATATTTGAGGTTAAAAACTGGGATTTCTATGAAAATAAGCGATATTTAAGGTTAAAAAAAAGGGATTTCTATGGAAATAAGCGATATTTAAGGGTTAAAAACAGGGATTTCTATGAAAATAAGCGATATTTGAGGTTAAAAACAGGGATTTCTAGGAAAATAAGCGATATTTTTGGTTAAAAACAGGGATTTCTATGAAAATAAGCGATATTTTAGGTTAAAAACAGGGATTTCTATGGAAATAAGCGATATTTTAGGTTAAAAACAGGGATTTCTATGGAAATAAGCGATATTTTAGGTTAAAAACAGGGATTTCTATGAAAATAAGTGATATTTTAGGTTAAAAACAGGGATTTCTATGGAAATAAGCGATATTTTAGGTTAAAAACAGGGATTTCTATGAAAATAAGCGATATTTAAGGGGAAAAACAGGGATTTCTATGGAAACAAGCGATATTTTAGGTTAAAAACAGGGATTTCTATGAAAATAAGCGATATTTGAAGTTAAAAACAGGGATTTCTAGGAAAATAAGCGATATTTGAGGTTAAAAAAAGGGATTTCTATGAAAATAAGCGATATTTGAGGTTAAAAACAGGGATTTCTATGGAAATAAGCGATATTTCAGGTTAAAAACAGGGATTTCTATGAAAATAAGCGATATTTGAGGTTAAAAACTGGGATTTCTAGGAAAATAAGTGATATTTGAGGTTAAAAACAGGGATTTCTATGAAAATAAGCGATATTTGAGGTTAAAAACAGGGATTTCTATGAAAATAAGGGATATTTAAGGGGAAAAACAGGGATTTCTATGAAAATAAGCGATATTTGAGGTTAAAAACAGGGATTTCTATGAAAATAAGCGATATTTTAGGTTAAAAACAGGGATTTCTATGAAAATAAGCGATATTTAAGGGGAAAAACAGGGATTTCTATGAAAATAAGTGATATTTGAGGTTAAAAACAGGGATTTCTATGAAAATAAGCGATATTTGAGGTTAAAAACAGGGATTTCTATGAAAATAAGGGATATTTAAGGGGAAAAACAGGGATTTCTATGAAAATAAGCGATATTTGAGGATAAAAACTGGGATTTCTATGAAAATAAGCGATATTTGAGGTTAAAAACTGGGATTTCTATGAAAACAAGCTATATTTTTGGTTAAAAACAGGGATTTCTATGAAAATAAGCGATATTTTAGGTTAAAAACAGGGATTTCTATGAAAATAAGCGATATTTTAGGTTAAAAACAGGGATTTCTATGAAAATAAGCGATATTTAAGGGGAAAAACAGGGATTTCTATGAAAATAAGCAATATTTAAGGGGAAAAACAGGGATTTCTAGGAAAATAAGCGATATTTAAGGGGAAAAACAGGGATTTCTATGAAAATAAGCGATATTTGAGGTTAAAAACAGGGATTTCTAGGAAAATAAGCGATATTTTAGGTTAAAAACAGGGATTTCTATGAAAATAAGCGATATTTAAGGGGAAAAACAGGGATTTCTATGAAAATAAGCGATATTTGAGGTTAAAAACAGGGATTTCTAGGAAAATAAGCGATATTTTAGGTTAAAAACAGGGATTTCTATGAAAATAAGCGATATTTAAGGTTAAAGACAGGGATTTCTATGAAAATAAGCGATATTTGAGGTTAAAAACAGGGATTTCTATGAAAATAAGCGATATTTTAGGTTAAAAACAGGGATTTCTAGGAAAATAAGCGATATTTAAGGTTAAAAACAGGGATTTCTATGGAAATAAGCGATATTTTAGGTTAAAAACAGGGATTTCTAGGAAAATAAGTGATATTTGAGGTTAAAAACTGGGATTTCTAGGAAAATAAGCGATATTTTAGGTTAAAAACAGGGATTTCTAGGAAAATAAGTGATATTTTAGGTAAAAAAAACAGGGATTTCTATGGAAATAAGCGATATTTTAGGTTAAAAACAGGGATTTCTATGAAAATAAGCGATATTTAAGGGGAAAAACAGGGATTTCTATGAAAATAAGCGATATTTGAGGTTAAAAACAGGGATTTCTATGAAAATAAGCGATATTTGAGGTTAAAAACTGGGATTTCTATGAAAATAAGCGATATTTTAGGTTAAAAACAGGGATTTCTATGAAAATAAGCGATATTTTAGGTTAAAAAGAGGGATTTCTAGGAAAATAAGCGATATTTTAGGTTAAAAACAGGGATTTCTATGAAAATAAGCGATATTTATGGGGAAAAACAGGGATTTCTATGAAAATAAGCGATATTTAAGGTTAAAAACAGGGATTTCTATGAAAATAAGCGATATTTGAGGTTAAAAACAGGGATTTCTATGAAAATAAGCGATATTTGAGGTTAAAAACTGGGATTTCTATGAAAATAAGCGATATTTTAGGTTAAAAACTGGGATTTCTATGAAAATAAGCGATATTTGGGGATAAAAACTGGGATTTCTATGAAAATAAGCGATATTTTAGGTTAAAAACAGGGATCTCTATGAAAATAAGCGATATTTCAGGTAAAAAAAACAGGGATTTCTATGGAAATAAGCGATATTTGAGGTTAAAAACAGGGATTTCTAGGAAAATAAGGGATATTTAAGGGGAAAAACAGGGATTTCTATGAAAATAAGTGATATTTGAGGTTAAAAACAGGGATTTCTAGGAAAATAAGCGATATTTGAGGTTAAAAACAGGGATTTCTATGAAAATAAGCGATATTTGAGGTTAAAAACTGGGATTTCTATGAAAATAAGTGATATTTAAGGTTAAAAACAGGGATTTCTATGGAAATAAGCGATATTTTAGGTTAAAAACAGGGATTTCTATGAAAATAAGCGATATTTGAGGTTAAAAACAGGGATTTCTAGGAAAATAAGCGATATTTGAGGTTAAAAACAGGGATTTCTAGGAAAATAAGTGATATTTTAGGTTAAAAACAGGGATTTCTATGGAAATAAGCGATATTTTAGGTTAAAAACAGGGATTTCTAGGAAAATAAGCGATATTTAAGGGGAAAAACAGGGATTTCTATGAAAATAAGCGATATTTGAGGTTAAAAACAGGGATTTCTATGAAAATAAGCGATATTTATGGGGAAAAGCAGGGATTTCTATGAAAATAAGCGATATTTAAGGGGAAAAACAGGGATTTCTATGAAAATAAGCGATATTTTAGGTTAAAAACAGGGATTTCTATGAAAATAAGCGATATTTAAGGGGAAAAACAGGGATTTCTATGAAAATAAGTGATATTTTAGGTTAAAAACAGGGATTTCTATGAAAATAAGCGATATTTAAAGGGAAAAACAGGGATTTCTATGAAAATAAGCGATATTTAAGGGGAAAAACAGGGATTTCTATGAAAATAAGCGATATTTAGATGATAAAAACAGGGATTTCTATGAAAATAAGCGATATTTTAGGTTAAAAACAGGGATTTCTAGGAAAATAAGCGATATTTGAGGTTAAAAACAGGGATTTCTATGAAAATAAGCGATATTTAAGGGGAAAAACAGGGATTTCTATGAAAATAAGCGATATTTTAGGTTAAAAACAGGGATTTCTAGGAAAATAAGCGATATTTAAGGGGAAAAACAGGGATTTCTATGGAAATAAGCGATATTTTAGGTTAAAAACAGGGATTTCTATGAAAATAAGTGATATTTTAGGTTAAAAACAGGGATTTCTATGAAAATAAGCGATATTTAAGGGGAAAAACAGGGATTTCTATGGAAATAAGCGATATTTGAGGTTAAAAACAGGGATTTCTATGAAAATAAGCGATATTTTAGGTTAAAAACAGGGATTTCTATGAAAATAAGCGATATTTAAGGGGAAAAACAGGGATTTCTATGAAAATAAGCGATATTTAAGGGGAAAAACAGGGATTTCTATGAAAATAAGCGATATTTAAGGGGAAAAACAGGGATTTCTAGGAAAATAAGCGATATTTGAGGTTAAAAACAGGGATTTCTATGAAAATAAGTGATATTTTAGGTTAAAAACAGGGATTTCTATGGAAATAAGCGATATTTTAGGTTAAAAACAGGGATTTCTATGAAAATAAGCGATATTTGAGGTTAAAAACAGGGATTTCTAGGAAAATAAGCGATATTTGAGGTTAAAAACAGGGATTTCTATGAAAATAAGCGATATTTGAGGTTAAAAACAGGGATTTCTATGAAAATAAGCGATATTTTAGGTTAAAAACAGGGATTTCTATGAAAATAAGCGATATTTTAGGTTAAAAAGAGGGATTTCTAGGAAAATAAGCGATATTTTAGGTTAAAAACAGGGATTTCTATGAAAATAAGCGATATTTAAGGGGAAAAACAGGGATTTCTATGAAAATAAGCGATATTTTAGGTTAAAAACAGGGATTTCTATGGAAATAAGCGATATTTTAGGTTAAAAACAGGGATTTCTATGAAAATAAGCGATATTTAAGGGGAAAAACAGGGATTTCTATGAAAATAAGCGATATTTGAGGATAAAAACTGGGATTTCTATGAAAATAAGCGATATTTTAGGTTAAAAACAGGGATTTCTATGAAAATAAGCGATATTTTTGGTTAAAAACAGGGATTTCTATGAAAATAAGCGATATTTGAGGTTAAAAACAGGGATTTCTATGAAAATAAGCGATATTTTAGGTTAAAAACAGGGATTTCTATGAAAATAAGCGATATTTAAGGGGAAAAACTGGGATTTCTATGAAAATAAGCGATATTTTAGGTTAAAAACAGGGATTTCTATGAAAATAAGCGATATTTAAGGGGAAAAACAGGGATTTCTATGAAAATAAGCGATATTTTAGGTTAAAAACAGGGATTTCTATGAAAATAAGTGATATTTTAGGTTAAAAACAGGGATTTCTATGAAAATAAGCGATATTTAAGGGGAAAAACAGGGATTTCTATGAAAATAAGCGATATTTTAGGTTAAAAACAGGGATTTCTATGAAAATAAGCGATATTTTAGGTTAAAAACAGGGATTTCTATGAAAATAAGCGATATTTAAGGGGAAAAACAGGGATTTCTATGGAAATAAGCGATATTTTAGGTTAAAAACAGGGATTTCTATGAAAATAAGCGATATTTTAGGTTAAAAACAGGGATTTCTATGGAAATAAGCGATATTTGAGGTTAAAAACAGGGATTTCTATGAAAATAAGCGATATTTTTGGTTAAAAACAGGGATTTCTATGAAAATAAGCGATATTTGAGGTTAAAAACAGGGATTTCTATGAAAATAAGCGATATTTGAGGTTAAAAACAGGGATTTCTATGAAAATAAGCGATATTTTAGGTTAAAAACAGGGATTTCTATGAAAATAAGCGATATTTAAGGGGAAAAACAGGGATTTCTATGAAAATAAGCGATATTTAAGGGGAAAAACAGGGATTTCTAGGAAAATAAGCGATATTTGAGGTTAAAAACAGGGATTTCTATGAAAACAAGTGATATTTAAGGGGAAAAACAGGGATTTCTATGAAAATAAGCGATATTTGAGGTTAAAAACAGGGATTTCTATGAAAATAAGCGATATTAAGGGGAAAAACAGGGATTTCTATGAAAATAAGCGATATTTTAGGTTAAAAACAGGGATTTCTATGAAAATAAGCGATATTTTAGGTTAAAAACAGGGATTTCTATGAAAATAAGTGATATTTTAGGTAAAAAAAACAAGATTTCTATGAAAATAAGCGATATTTTAGGTTAAAAACAGGGATTTCTATGAAAATAAGCGATATTTTAGGTTAAAAACAGGGATTTCTATGAAAATAAGTGATATTTTAGGTAAAAAAAACAAGATTTCTATGAAAATAAGCGATATTTTAGGTTAAAAACAGGGATTTCTATGAAAATAAGCGATATCTTAGGTTAAAAACAGGGATTTCTATGAAAATAAGCGATATTTAAGGGGAAAAACAGGGATTTCTATGAAAATAAGCGATATCTTAGGTTAAAAACAGGGATTTCTATGAAAATAAGCGATATTTTAGGTTAAAAACAGGGATTTCTATGAAAATAAGCGATATTTTAGGTTAAAAACAGGGATTTCTATGAAAATAAGCGATATTTAAGGGGAAAAACAGGGATTTCTATGAAAATAAGCGATATTTTAGGTTAAAAACAGGGATTTCTATGAAAATAAGCGATATTTAAGGGGAAAAACAGGGATTTCTATGAAAATAAGCGATATTTTAGGTTAAAAACAGGGATTTCTATGAAAATAAGCGATATTTGAGGTTAAAAACAGGGATTTCTATGAAAATAAGCGATATTTGAGGTTAAAAACAGGGATTTCTATGAAAATAAGCGATATTTAAGGGGAATAACAGGGATTCCTATGAAAATAAGCGATATTTAAGGGGAAAAACAGGGATTTCTATGAAAATAAGTGATATTTTAGGTTAAAAACAGGGATTTCTATGAAAATAAGCGATATTTAAGGGGAAAAACAGGGATTTCTATGAAAATAAGCGATATTTGAGGTTAAAAACAGGGATTTCTAGGAAAATAAGCGATAATTAAGGGGAAAAACAGGGATTTCTATGAAAATAAGCGATATTTTAGGTTAAAAACAGGGATTTCTATGAAAATAAGCGATATTTTAGGTTAAAAACAGGGATTTCTAGGAAAATAAGCGATATTTTAGGTTAAAAACAGGGATTTCTATGAAAATAAGTGATATTTTAGGTAAAAAAAACAGGGATTTCTATGAAAATAAGCGATATTTTAGGTTAAAAACAGGGATTTCTATGAAAATAAGCGATATCTTAGGTTAAAAACAGGGATTTCTATGAAAATAAGCGATATTTAAGGGGAAAAACAGGGATTTCTATGAAAATAAGCGATATCTTAGGTTAAAAACAGGGATTTCTATGAAAATAAGCGATATTTTAGGTTAAAAACAGGGATTTCTATGAAAATAAGCGATATTTTAGGTTAAAAACAGGGATTTCTATGAAAATAAGCGATATTTAAGGGGAAAAACAGGGATTTCTATGAAAATAAGCGATATTTAAGGGGAAAAACAGGGATTTCTATGAAAATAAGCGATATTTAAGGGGAAAAACAGGGATTTCTATGAAAATAAGCGATATTTAAGGTTAAAAACAGGGATTTCTATGAAAATAAGCGATATTTTAGGTTAAAAACAGGGATTTCTATGAAAATAAGCAATATTTGAGGTTAAAAACAGGGATTTCTAGGAAAATAAGCGATATTTAAGGGGAAAAACAGGGATTTCTATGAAAATAAGCGATATTTTAGGTTAAAAACAGGGATTTCTATGAAAATAAGCGATATTTTAGGTTAAAAACAGGGATTTCTATGAAAATAAGCGATATTTAAGGGGAAAAACAGGGATTTCTATGAAAATAAGCGATATTTTATGTTAAAAACAGGGATTTCTATGAAAATAAGCGATATTTGAGGTTAAAAACAGGGATTTCTAGGAAAATAAGTGATATTTTAGGTTAAAAACAGGGATTTCTATGAAAATAAGCGATATTTGAGGTTAAAAACAGGGATTTCTATGAAAATAAGCGATATTTGAGGTTAAAAACAGGGATTTCTATGAAAATAAGTGATATCTTAGGTTAAAAACTGGGATTTCTATGGAAATAAGCGATATTTTAGGTTAAAAACAGGGATTTCTATGAAAATAAGCGATATTTTAGGTTAAAAACAGGGATTTCTATGAAAATAAGTGATATTTTAGGTTAAAAACAGGGATTTCTATGGAAATAAGCGATATTTTAGGTTAAAAACAGGGATTTCTATGAAAATAAGCGATATTTAAGGGGAAAAACAGGGATTTCTATGAAAATAAGCGATATTTGAGGATAAAAACTGGGATTTCTATGAAAATAAGCGATATTTTAGGTTAAAAACAGGGATTTCTATGAAAATAAGCTATATTTTTGGTTAAAAACAGGGATTTCTATGAAAATAAGCGATATTTGAGGTTAAAAACAGGGATTTCTATGGAAATAAGCGATATTTGAGGTTAAAAACAGGGATTTCTATGAAAATAAGCGATATTTAAGGGGAAAAACAGGGATTTCTATGAAAATAAGCGATATTTGAGGATAAAAACTGGGATTTCTAGGAAAATAAGCGATATTTTAGGTTAAAAACAGGGATTTCTATGAAAATAAGCTATATTTTTGGTTAAAAACAGGGATTTCTATGAAAATAAGCGATATTTGAGGTTAAAAACAGGGATTTCTATGAAAATAAGCGATATTTTAGGTTAAAAACAGGGATTTCTATGAAAATAAGCGATATTTAATGGGAAAAACAGGGATTTCTATGAAAATAAGCGATATTTGAGGTTAAAAACAGGGATTTCTAGGAAAATAAGCGATATTTAAGGGGAAAAACAGGGATTTCTATGAAAATAAGCGATATTTGAGGTTAAAAACAGGGATTTCTATGAAAATAAGCGATATTTTAGGTTAAAAACAGGGATTTCTAGGAAAATAAGCGATATTTAAGGGGAAAAACAGGGATTTCTATGAAAATAAGCGATATTTGAGGTTAAAAACAGGGATTTCTATGAAAATAAGCGATATTTGAGGTTAAAAACAGGGATTTCTATGAAAATAAGCGATATTTAAGGGGAAAAACAGGGATTTCTATGAAAATAAGCGATATTTTAGGTTAAAAACAGGGATTTCTAGGAAAATAAGCGATATTTAGATGATAAAAACAGGGATTTCTATGAAAATAAGCGATATTTAAGGGGAAAAACAGGGATTTCTATGAAAATAAGCGATATTTGAGGTTAAAAACAGGGATTTCTATGGAAATAAGCGATATTTTAGGGGAAAAACAGGGATTTCTATGAAAATAAGCGATATTTAATGGGAAAAACAGGGATTTCTATGAAAATAAGCGATATTTGAGGTTAAAAACAGGGATTTCTATGAAAATAAGCGATATTTGAGGTTAAAAACAGGGATTTCTATGAAAATAAGCGATATTTAAGGGGAAAAACTGGGATTTCTATGAAAATAAGCGATATTTTAGGATAAAAACAGGGATTTCTATGAAAATAAGCGATATTTTAGGTTAAAAACAGGGATTTCTATGAAAATAAGCGATATTTTAGGTTAAAAACAGGGATTTCTATGAAAATAAGCGATATTTAAGGGGAAAAACAGGGATTTCTATGAAAATAAGCGATATTTTAGGTTAAAAACAGGGATTTCTATGAAAATAAGCGATATTTTAGGTTAAAAACAGGGATTTCTATGAAAATAAGCGATATTTTAGGTTAAAAACAGGGATTTCTATGAAAATAAGCGATATTTGAGGGGAAAAACAGGGATTTCTATGAAAATAAGCGATATTTTAGGTTAAAAACAGGGATTTCTAGGAAAATAAGCGATATTTTATGTTAAAAACAGGGATTTCTATGAAAATAAGCGATATTTTAGGTTAAAAACAGGGATTTCTATGAAAATAAGCGATATTTAAGGGGAAAAACAGGGATTTCTATGGAAATAAGTGATATTTTAGGTTAAAAACAGGGATTTCTATGAAAATAAGCGATATTTTAGGTTAAAAACAGGGATTTCTATGAAAATAAGCGATATTTAAGGGGAAAAACAGGGATTTCTATGAAAATAAGTGATATTTTAGGTTAAAAACAGGGATTTCTATGAGAATAAGCGATATTTAAGGGGAAAAACAGGATTTCTATGGAAATAAGCGATAATTTAGGTTAAAAACAGGGATTTCTATGAAAATAAGCGATATTTGAGGTTAAAAACAGGGATTTCTATGAAAATAAGCGATATTTGAGGTTAAAAACAGGGATTTCTATGAAAATAAGCGATATTTTAGGTTAAAAACAGGGATTTCTATGAAAATAAGTGATATTTTAGGTAAAAAAAAACAGGGATTTCTATGAAAATAAGCGATATTTTAGGTTAAAAACAGGGATTTCTATGAAAATAAGCGATATTTGAGGATAAAAACAGGGATTTCTATGAAAATAAGCGATATTTGAGGTTAAAAACAGGGATTTCTATGAAAATAAGCGATATTTGAGGTTAAAAACAGGGATTTCTATGAAAATAAGCGATATTTTAGGTTAAAAACAGGGATTTCTATGAAAACAAGCGATATTTAAGGGGAAAAACAGGGATTTCTAGGAAAATAAGCGATATTTTAGGTTAAAAACAGGGATTTCTAGGAAAATAAGCGATAATTAAGGGGAAAAACAGGGATTTCTATGAAAATAAGCGATATTTTAGGTTAAAAACAGGGATTTCTATGGAAATAAGCGATATTTTAGGTTAAAAACAGGGATTTCTATGAAAATAAGCGATATTTGAGGATAAAAACTGGGATTTCTATGAAAATAAGCGATATTTTAGGTTAAAAACAGGGATTTCTATGAAAATAAGCTATATTTTAGGTTAAAAACAGGGATTTCTATGAAAATAAGCGATATTTGAGGATAAAAACTGGGATTTCTATGAAAATAAGCGATATTTTAGGTTAAAAACAGGGATTTCTATGAAAACAAGCGATATTTAAGGGGAAAAACAGGGATTTCTATGAAAATAAGCAATATTTTAGGTTAAAAACAGGGATTTCTAGGAAAATAAGCGATATTTAAGGGGAAAAACAGGGATTTCTATGAAAATAAGCGATATTTTAGGTTAAAAACAGGGATTTCTATGAAAATAAGTGATATTTTAGGTTAAAAACAAGGATTTCTATGAAAATAAGCGATATTTAAGGGGAAAAACAGGGATTTCTATGGAAATAAGCGATATTTTAGGTTAAAAACAGGGATTTCTATGAAAATAAGCGATATTTAAGGGGAAAAACAGGGATTTCTATGAAAATAAGTGATATTTTAGGTTAAAAACAAGGATTTCTATGAAAATAAGCGATATTTAAGGGGAAAAACAGGGATTTCTAAGGAAATAAGCGATATTTTAGGTTAAAAACAGGGATTTCTATGAAAATAAGCGATATTTTAGGTTAAAAACAGGGATTTCTATGAAAATAAGCGATATTTAATGGGAAAAACAGGGATTTCTATGAAAATAAGCGATATTTGAGGTTAAAAACAGGGATTTCTATGAAAATAAGCGATATTTAAGGGGAAAAACAGGGATTTCTATGAAAATAAGCGATATTTGAGGTTAAAAACAGGGATTTCTAGGAAAATAAGCGATATTTTAGGTTAAAAACAGGGATTTCTAGGAAAATAAGCGATATTTAAGGGGAAAAACAGGGATTTCTATGAAAATAAGCGATATTTGAGGTTAAATACAGGGATTTCTAGGAAAATAAGCGATATTTTAGGTTAAAAACAGGGATTTCTATGGAAATAAGCGATATTTAAGGGGAAAAACAGGGATTTCTATGAAAATAAGCGATATTTTAGGTTAAAAACAGGGATTTCTATGAAAATAAGCGATATTTAAGGTTAAAAACAGGGATTTCTATGAAAATAAGCGATATTTAAGGGGAAAAACAGGGATTTCTATGAAAATAAGCGATATTTTAGGTTAAAAACAGGGATTTCTATGAAAATAAGCGATATTTTAGGTTAAAAACAGGGATTTCTATGAAAATAAGCGATATTTAAGGGGAAAAACAGGGATTTCTATGAAAATAAGCGATATTTAAGGGGAAAAACAGGGATTTCTATGAAAAGAAGCGATATTTGAGGTTAAAAACAGGGATTTCTATGAAAATAAGCGATATTTAAGGGGAAAAACAGGGATTTCTATGAAAATAAGCGATATTTAAGGTTAAAAACAGGGATTTCTATGAAAATAAGCGATATTTGAGGATAAAAACTGGGATTTCTATGAAAATAAGCGATATTTTAGGTTAAAAACAGGGATTTCTATGAAAATAAGCGATATTTTAGGTTAAAAACAAGGATTTCTATGAAAATAAGCGATATTTAAGGGGAAAAACAGGGATTTCTATGGAAATAAGCGATATTTGAGGTTAAAAACAGGGATTTCTATGAAAATAAGCGATATTTTAGGTTAAAAACAGGGATTTCTATGAAAATAAGCGATATTTTAGGTTAAAAAGAGGGATTTCTAGGAAAATAAGCGATATTTGAGGTTAAAAACAGGGATTTCTATGGAAATAAGCGATATTTTAGGTTAAAAACAGGGATTTCTATGAAAATAAGCGATATTTTAGGTTAAAAAGAGGGATTTCTAGGAAAATAAGCGATATTTAAGGGGAAAAACAGGGATTTCTATGGAAATAAGCGATATTTGAGGTTAAAAACAGGGATTTCTATGAAAATAAGCGATATTTTAGGTTAAAAACAGGGATTTCTATGAAAATAAGCGATATTTAAGGGGAAAAACAGGGATTTCTATGAAAATAAGCGATATTTGAGGATAAAAACTGGGATTTCTATGAAAATAAGCGATATTTTAGGTTAAAAACAGGGATTTCTATGAAAATAAGCGATATTTAAGGGGAAAAACTGGGATTTCTAGGAAAATAAGCGATATTTGAGGTTAAAAACAGGGATTTCTATGAAAACAAGTGATATTTAAGGGGAAAAACAGGGATTTCTATGAAAATAAGCGATATTTGAGGTTAAAAACAGGGATTTCTAGGAAAATAAGTGATAATTAAGGGGAAAAACAGGGATTTCTATGAAAATAAGCGATATTTTAGGTTAAAAACAGGGATTTCTATGAAAATAAGCGATATTTTAGGTTAAAAACAGGGATTTCTAGGAAAATAAGCGATATTTTAGGTTAAAAACAGGGATTTCTATGAAAATAAGTGATATTTTAGGTTAAAAAAAACAGGGATTTCTATGAAAATAAGCGATATTTTAGGTTAAAAACAGGGATTTCTACGAAAATAAGCGATATCTTTGGTTAAAAACAGGGATTTCTATGAAAATAAGCGATATTTAAGGGGAAAAACAGGGATTTCTATGAAAATAAGCGATATCTTAGGTTAAAAACAGGGATTTCTATGAAAATAAGTGATATTTTAGGTTAAAAACAGGGATTTCTATGAAAATAAGCGATATTTTAGGTTAAAAACAGGGATTTCTATGAAAATAAGCAATATTTAAGGGGAAAAACAGGGATTTCTATGAAAATAAGCAATATTTTAGGTTAAAAACAGGGATTTCTATGAAAATAAGCGATATTTAAGGGGAAAAACAGGGATTTCTATGAAAATAAGCGATATTTTAGGTTAAAAACAGGGATTTCTATGAAAATAAGCGATATTTTAGGTTAAAAACAGGGATTTCTATGAAAATAAGCAATATTTGAGGTTAAAAACAGGGATTTCTAGGAAAATAAGCGATATTTAAGGGGAAAAACAGGGATTTCTATGAAAATAAGCGATATTTGAGGTTAAAAACAGGGATTTCTAGGAAAATAAGCGATATTTGAGGTTAAAAACAGGGATTTCTATGAAAATAAGCGATATTTAAGGGGAAAAACAGGGATTTCTATGAAAATAAGCGATATTTAAGGGGAAAAACAGGGATTTCTAGGAAAATAAGCGATATTTGAGGTTAAAAACAGGGATTTCTAGGAAAATAAGTGATATTTTAGGTTAAAAACAGGGATTTCTATGAAAATAAGCGATATTTGAGGTTAAAAACAGGGATTTCTATGAAAATAAGCGATATTTCAGGTTCAAAACAGGGATTTCTAGGAAAATAAGTGATATCTTAGGTTAAAAACTGGGATTTCTATGGAAATAAGCGATATTTTAGGTTAAAAACAGGGATTTCTATGAAAATAAGCGATATTTTAGGTTAAAAACAGGGATTTCTATGAAAATAAGTGATATTTTAGGTTAAAAACAGGGATTTCTATGGAAATAAGCGATATTTTAGGTTAAAAACAGGGATTTCTATGAAAATAAGCGATATTTAAGGGGAAAAACAGGGATTTCTATGAAAATAAGCGATATTTGAGGATAAAAACTGGGATTTCTATGAAAATAAGCGATATTTTAGGTTAAAAACAGGGATTTCTATGAAAATAAGCTATATTTTTGGTTAAAAACAGGGATTTCTATGAAAATAAGCGATATTTGAGGTTAAAAACAGGGATTTCTATGGAAATAAGCGATATTTGAGGTTAAAAACAGGGATTTCTATGAAAATAAGCGATATTTAAGGGGAAAAACAGGGATTTCTATGAAAAGAAGCGATATTTGAGGTTAAAAACAGGGATTTCTATGAAAATAAGCGATATCTTAGGTTAAAAACAGGGATTTCTATGAAAATAAGCGATATTTTAGGTTAAAAACAGGGATTTCTATGAAAATAAGCGATATTTTAGGTTAAAAACAGGGATTTCTATGAAAATAAGCGATATTTAATGGGAAAAACAGGGATTTCTATGAAAATAAGCGATATTTGAGGTTAAAAACAGGGATTTCTAGGAAAATAAGCGATATTTAAGGGGAAAAACAGGGATTTCTATGAAAATAAGCGATATTTGAGGTTAAAAACAGGGATTTCTAGGAAAATAAGCGATATTTTAGGTTAAAAACAGGGATTTCTAGGAAAATAAGCGATATTTAAGGGGAAAAACAGGGATTTCTATGAAAATAAGCGATATTTGAGGTTAAAAACAGGGATTTCTAGGAAAATAAGCGATATTTTAGGTTAAAAACAGGGATTTCTATGAAAATAAGCGATATTTAAGGGGAAAAACAGGGATTTCTATGAAAATAAGCGATATTTTAGGTTAAAAACAGGGATTTCTAGGAAAATAAGCGATATTTAGATGATAAAAACAGGGATTTCTATGAAAATAAGCGATATTTAAGGGGAAAAACAGGGATTTCTATGAAAATAAGCGATATTTGAGGTTAAAAACAGGGATTTCTATGGAAATAAGCGATATTTTAGGGGAAAAACAGGGATTTCTATGAAAATAAGCGATATTTAAGGGGAAAAACAGGGATTTCTATGAAAATAAGCGATATTTAAGGGGAAAAACAGGGATTTCTATGAAAAGAAGCGATATTTGAGGTTAAAAACAGGGATTTCTATGAAAATAAGCGATATTTAAGGGGAAAAACTGGGATTTCTATGAAAATAAGCGATATTTGAGGATAAAAACTGGGATTTCTATGAAAATAAGCGATATTTTAGGTTAAAAACAGGGATTTCTAGGAAAATAAGCGATATTTTAGGTTAAAAACAAGGATTTCTATGAAAATAAGCGATATTTCAGGGGAAAAACAGGGATTTCTATGGAAATAAGCGATATTTTAGGTTAAAAACAGGGATTTCTATGAAAATAAGCGATATTTTAGGTTAAAAACAGGGATTTCTATGAAAATAAGTGATATTTTAGGTTAAAAACAGGGATTTCTATGAAAATAAGCGATATTTGAGGGGAAAAACAGGGATTTCTATGAAAATAAGCGATATTTTAGGTTAAAAAGAGGGATTTCTAGGAAAATAAGCGATATTTAAGGGGAAAAACAGGGATTTCTAGGAAAATAAGCGATATTTAAGGGGAAAAACAGGGATTTCTATGAAAATAAGCGATATTTTAGGTTAAAAACAGGGATTTCTATGGAAATAAGCGATATTTTAGGTTAAAAACAGGGATTTCTATGAAAATAAGTGATATTTTAGGTTAAAAACAAGGATTTCTATGAAAATAAGCGATATTTAAGGGGAAAAACAGGGATTTCTATGAAAATAAGTGATATCTTAGGTTAAAAACAAGGATTTCTATGAAAATAAGCGATATTTAAGGGGAAAAACACGGATTTCTATGGAAATAAGCGATAATTTAGGTTAAAAACAGGGATTTCTATGAAAATAAGCGATATTTGAGGTTAAAAACAGGGATTTCTATGGAAATAAGCGATATTTGAGGTTAAAAACAGGGATTTCTATGAAAATAAGCGATATTTTAGGTTAAAAACAGGGATTTCTATGAAAATAAGCGATATTTAAGGGGAAAAACAGGGATTTCTATGAAAATAAGCGATATTTTAGGTTAAAAACAGGGATTTCTATGAAAATAAGCGATATTTGAGGATAAAAACTGGGATTTCTATGAAAATAAGCGATATTTTAGGTTAAAAACAGGGATTTCTATGAAAATAAGCGATATTTTAGGTTAAAAACAAGGATTTCTATGAAAATAAGCGATATTTAAGGTTAAAAACAGGGATTTCTATGAAAATAAGCGATATTTGAGGATAAAAACTGGGATTTCTATGAAAATAAGCGATATTTTAGGTTAAAAACAGGGATTTCTATGAAAATAAGCGATATTTTAGGTTAAAAACAAGGATTTCTATGAAAATAAGCGATATTTAAGGGGAAAAACAGGGATTTCTATGGAAATAAGCGATATTTTAGGTTAAAAACAGGGATTTCTATGAAAATAAGCGATATTTAAGGGGAAAAACAGGGATTTCTATGAAAATAAGCGATATTTTAGGTTAAAAACAGGGATTTCTAGGAAAATAAGCGATATTTAGATGATAAAAACAGGGATTTCTAGGAAAATAAGCGATATTTAGATGATAAAAACAGGGATTTCTATGAAAATAAGCGATATTTAAGGGGAAAAACAGGGATTTCTAGGAAAATAAGCGATATTTTAGGTTAAAAACAGGGATTTCTATGAAAATAAGTGATATTTTAGGTTAAAAACAGGGATTTCTATGAAAATAAGCGATATTTAAGGGGAAAAACAGGGATTTCTATGAAAAGAAGCGATATTTGAGGTTAAAAACAGGGATTTCTATGAAAATAAGCGATATTTAAGGGGAAAAACTGGGATTTCTATGAAAATAAGCGATATTTGAGGATAAAAACTGGGATTTCTATGAAAATAAGCGATATTTTAGGTTAAAAACAGGGATTTCTATGGAAATAAGCGATATTTTAGGTTAAAAACAGGGATTTCTATGAAAATAAGCGATATTTAAGGTTAAAAACAGGGATTTCTATGAAAATAAGCGATATTTGAGGATAAAAACTGGGATTTCTATGAAAATAAGCGATATTTTAGGTTAAAAACAGGGATTTCTATGAAAATAAGCGATATTTTAGGTTAAAAACAAGGATTTCTATGAAAATAAGCGATATTTAAGGGGAAAAACAGGGATTTCTATGGAAATAAGCGATATTTTAGGTTAAAAACAGGGATTTCTATGAAAATAAGCGATATTTGAGGTTAAAAACAGGGATTTCTATGAAAATAAGTGATATTTTAGGTTAAAAACAGGGATTTCTATGAAAATAAGCGATATTTGAGGTTAAAAACAGGGATTTCTATGGAAATAAGCGATATTTTAGGTTAAAAACATGGATTTCTATGAAAATAAGCGATATTTTAGGTTAAAAAGAGGGATTTCTAGGAAAATAAGCGATATTTAAGGGGAAAAACAGGGATTTCTATGGAAATAAGCGATATTTGAGGTTAAAAACAGGGATTTCTATGAAAATAAGCGATATTTCAGGTTAAAAACAGGGATTTCTATGGAAATAAGCGATATTTGAGGTTAAAAACAGGGATTTCTATGAAAATAAGCGATATTTAAGGGGAAAAACAGGGATTTCTATGAAAATAAGCGATATTTGAGGATAAAAACTGGGATTTCTATGAAAATAAGCGATATTTTAGGTTAAAAACAGGGATTTCTATGAAAATAAGCGATATTTTAGGTTAAAAACTGGGATTTCTATGGAAATAAGTGATATCTTAGGTTAAAAACAGGGATTTCTATGAAAATAAGCGATATTTCAGGTTAAAAACAGGGATTTCTAGGAAAATAAGCGATATTTAAGGGGAAAAACAGGGATTTCTATGAAAATAAGCGATATTTGAGGTTAAAAACAGGGATTTCTATGAAAACAAGTGATATTTAAGGGGAAAAACAGGGATTTCTATGAAAATAAGCGATATTTGAGGTTAAAAACAGGGATTTCTAGGAAAATAAGCGATAATTAAGGGGAAAAACAGGGATTTCTATGAAAATAAGCGATATTTTAGGTTAAAAACAGGGATTTCTATGAAAATAAGCGATATTTTAGGTTAAAAACAGGGATTTCTAGGAAAATAAGCGATATTTTAGGTTAAAAACAGGGATTTCTATGAAAATAAGTGATATTTTAGGTAAAAAAAACAGGGATTTCTATGAAAATAAGCGATATTTTAGGTTAAAAACAGGGATTTCTATGAAAATAAGCGATATCTTAGGTTAAAAACAGGGATTTCTATGAAAATAAGCGATATTTAGATGATAAAAACAGGGATTTCTATGAAAATAAGCGATATCTTAGGTTAAAAACAGGGATTTCTATGAAAATAAGCGATATTTTAGGTTAAAAACAGGGATTTCTATGAAAATAAGCGATATTTTAGGTTAAAAACAGGGATTTCTATGAAAATAAGCGATATTTAAGGGGAAAAACAGGGATTTCTATGAAAAGAAGCGATATTTGAGGTTAAAAACAGGGATTTCTATGAAAATAAGCGATATTTAAGGGGAAAAACTGGGATTTCTATGAAAATAAGCGATATTTGAGGATAAAAACTGGGATTTCTATGAAAATAAGCGATATTTTAGGTTAAAAACAGGGATTTCTATGGAAATAAGCGATATTTTAGGTTAAAAACAGGGATTTCTATGAAAATAAGCGATATTTAAGGTTAAAAACAGGGATTTCTATGAAAATAAGCGATATTTGAGGATAAAAACTGGGATTTCTATGAAAATAAGCGATATTTTAGGTTAAAAACAGGGATTTCTATGAAAATAAGCGATATTTTAGGTTAAAAACAAGGATTTCTATGAAAATAAGCGATATTTAAGGGGAAAAACAGGGATTTCTATGGAAATAAGCGATATTTTAGGTTAAAAGCAGGGATTTCTATGAAAATAAGCGATATTTGAGGTTAAAAACAGGGATTTCTATGAAAATAAGTGATATTTTAGGTTAAAAACAGGGATTTCTATGAAAATAAGCGATATTTGAGGTTAAAAACAGGGATTTCTATGGAAATAAGCGATATTTTAGGTTAAAAACATGGATTTCTATGAAAATAAGCGATATTTTAGGTTAAAAAGAGGGATTTCTAGGAAAATAAGCGATATTTAAGGGGAAAAACAGGGATTTCTATGGAAATAAGCGATATTTGAGGTTAAAAACAGGGATTTCTATGAAAATAAGCGATATTTGAGGTTAAAAACAGGGATTTCTATGGAAATAAGCGATATTTGAGGTTAAAAACAGGGATTTCTATGAAAATAAGCGATATTTAAGGGGAAAAACAGGGATTTCTATGAAAATAAGCGATATTTGAGGATAAAAACTGGGATTTCTATGAAAATAAGCGATATTTTAGGTTAAAAACAGGGATTTCTATGAAAATAAGCGATATCTTAGGTTAAAAACAGGGATTTCTAGGAAAATAAGCGATATTTAAGGGGAAAAACTGGGATTTCTAGGAAAATAAGCGATATTTGAGGTTAAAAACAGGGATTTCTATGAAAACAAGTGATATTTAAGGGGAAAAACAGGGATTTCTATGAAAATAAGCGATATTTGAGGTTAAAAACAGGGATTTCTAGGAAAATAAGCGATAATTAAGGGGAAAAACAGGGATTTCTATGAAAATAAGCGATATTTTAGGTTAAAAACAGGGATTTCTATGAAAATAAGCGATATTTTAGGTTAAAAACAGGGATTTCTAGGAAAATAAGCGATATTTTAGGTTAAAAACAGGGATTTCTATGAAAATAAGTGATATTTTAGGTAAAAAAAACAGGGATTTCTATGAAAATAAGCGATATTTTAGGTTAAAAACAGGGATTTCTATGAAAATAAGCGATATCTTAGGTTAAAAACAGGGATTTCTATGAAAATAAGCGATATTTAAGGGGAAAAACAGGGATTTCTATGAAAATAAGCGATATCTTAGGTTAAAAACAGGGATTTCTATGAAAATAAGTGATATTTTAGGTTAAAAACAGGGATTTCTATGAAAATAAGCGATATTTTAGGTTAAAAACAGGGATTTCTATGAAAATAAGCGATATTTAAGGGGAAAAACAGGGATTTCTATGAAAATAAGCAATATTTTAGGTTAAAAACAGGGATTTCTATGAAAATAAGCGATATTTAAGGGGAAAAACAGGGATTTCTATGAAAATAAGCGATATTTAAAGGGAAAAACAGGGATTTCTATGAAAATAAGTGATATTTTAGGTTAAAAACAGGGATTTCTATGAAAATAAGCAATATTTGAGGTTAAAAACTGGGATTTCTAGGAAAATAAGCGATATTTTAGGTTAAAAACAGGGATTTCTATGAAAATAAGCGATATTTGAGGTTAAAAAGAGGGATTTCTAGGAAAATAAGCGATATTTAAGGGGAAAAACAGGGATTTCTATGAAAATAAGCGATATTTTAGGTTAAAAACAGGGATTTCTATGAAAATAAGCGATATTTAAGGGGAAAAACAGGGATTTCTAGGAAAATAAGCGATATTTGAGGTAAAAAACAGGGATTTCTATGAAAATAAGTGATATTTTAGGTTAAAAACAGGGATTTCTATGAAAATAAGCGATATTTGAGGTTAAAAACAGGGATTTCTATGAAAATAAGCGATATTTAAGGGGAAAAACAGGGATTTCTATGAAAATAAGTGATATCTTAGGTTAAAAACTGGGATTTCTATGGAAATAAGCGATATTTTAGGTTAAAAACAGGGATTTCTATGAAAATAAGCGATATTTTAGGTTAAAAACAGGGATTTCTATGAAAATAAGTGATATTTTAGGTTAAAAACAGGGATTTCTATGAAAATAAGCGATATTTAAGGGGAAAAACAGGGATTTCTATGAAAATAAGCGATATTTGAGGATAAAAACTGGGATTTCTATGAAAATAAGCGATATTTTAGGTTAAAAACAGGGATTTCTATGAAAATAAGCTATATTTTTGGTTAAAAACAGGGATTTCTATGAAAATAAGCGATATTTGAGGTTAAAAACAGGGATTTCTATGGAAATAAGCGATATTTGAGGTTAAAAACAGGGATTTCTATGAAAATAAGCGATATTTAAGGGGAAAAACAGGGATTTCTATGAAAATAAGCGATATTTGAGGATAAAAACTGGGATTTCTATGAAAATAAGCGATATTTTAGGTTAAAAACAGGGATTTCTATGAAAATAAGCTATATTTTTGGTTAAAAACAGGGATTTCTATGAAAATAAGCGATATTTGAGGTTAAAAACAGGGATTTCTATGAAAATAAGCGATATTTTAGGTTAAAAACAGGGATTTCTAGGAAAATAAGCGATATTTAATGGGAAAAACAGGGATTTCTATGAAAATAAGCGATATTTGAGGTTAAAAACAGGGATTTCTAGGAAAATAAGCGATATTTAAGGGGAAAAACAGGGATTTCTATGAAAATAAGCGATATTTGAGGTTAAAAACTGGGATTTCTAGGAAAATAAGCGATATTTTAGGTTAAAAACAGGGATTTCTAGGAAAATAAGCGATATTTAAGGGGAAAAACAGGGATTTCTATGAAAATAAGCGATATTTGAGGTTAAAAACAGGGATTTCTAGGAAAATAAGCGATATTTTAGGTTAAAAACAGGGATTTCTATGAAAATAAGCGATATTTCAGGTTCAAAACAGGGATTTCTATGAAAATAAGTGATATCTTAGGTTAAAAACTGGGATTTCTATGGAAATAAGCGATATTTTAGGTTAAAAACAGGGATTTCTATGAAAATAAGCGATATTTTAGGTTAAAAACAGGGATTTCTATGAAAATAAGTGATATTTTAGGTTAAAAACAGGGATTTCTATGGAAATAAGCGATATTTTAGGTTAAAAACAGGGATTTCTATGAAAATAAGCGATATTTAAGGGGAAAAACAGGGATTTCTATGAAAATAAGCGATATTTGAGGATAAAAACTGGGATTTCTATGAAAATAAGCGATATTTTAGGTTAAAAACAGGGATTTCTATGAAAATAAGCTATATTTTTGGTTAAAAACAGGGATTTCTATGAAAATAAGCGATATTTTAGGTTAAAAACAGGGATTTCTATGGAAATAAGCGATATTTGAGGTTAAAAACAGGGATTTCTATGAAAATAAGCGATATTTAAGGGGAAAAACAGGGATTTCTATGAAAATAAGCGATATTTGAGGATAAAAACTGGGATTTCTATGAAAATAAGCTATATTTTTGGTTAAAAACAGGGATTTCTATGAAAATAAGCGATATTTGAGGTTAAAAACAGGGATTTCTAGGAAAATAAGCGATATTTTAGGTTAAAAACAGGGATTTCTATGAAAATAAGCGATATTTAAGGGGAAAAACAGGGATTTCTATGAAAATAAGCGATATTTGAGGTTAAAAACAGGGATTTCTAGGAAAATAAGCGATATTTAAGGGGAAAAACAGGGATTTCTATGAAAATAAGCGATATTTGAGGTTAAAAACAGGGATTTCTAGGAAAATAAGCGATATTTTAGGTTAAAAACAGGGATTTCTAGGAAAATAAGCGATATTTAAGGGGAAAAACAGGGATTTCTATGAAAATAAGCGATATTTGAGGTTAAAAACAGGGATTTCTAGGAAAATAAGCGATATTTTAGGTTAAAAACAGGGATTTCTATGAAAATAAGCGATATTTAAGGGGAAAAACAGGGATTTCTATGAAAATAAGCGATATTTTAGGTTAAAAACAGGGATTTCTAGGAAAATAAGCGATATTTAGATGATAAAAACAGGGATTTCTATGAAAATAAGCGATATTTAAGGGGAAAAACAGGGATTTCTATGAAAATAAGCGATATTTTAGGTTAAAAACAGGGATTTCTATGGAAATAAGCGATATTTTAGGGGAAAAACAGGGATTTCTATGAAAATAAGCGATATTTAAGGGGAAAAACAGGGATTTCTATGAAAATAAGCGATATTTAAGGGGAAAAACAGGGATTTCTATGAAAAGAAGCGATATTTGAGGTTAAAAACAGGGATTTCTATGAAAATAAGCGATATTTAAGGGGAAAAACTGGGATTTCTATGAAAATAAGCGATATTTGAGGATAAAAACTGGGATTTCTATGAAAATAAGCGATATTTTAGGGGAAAAACAGGGATTTCTATGAAAATAAGCGATATTTTAGGTTAAAAACAAGGATTTCTATGAAAATAAGCGATATTTAAGGGGAAAAACAGGGATTTCTATGGAAATAAGCGATATTTTAGGTTAAAAACAGGGATTTCTATGAAAATAAGCGATATTTTAGGTTAAAAACAGGGATTTCTATGAAAATAAGTGATATTTTAGGTTAAAAACAGGGATTTCTATGAAAATAAGCGATATTTGAGGGGAAAAACAGGGATTTCTATGAAAATAAGCGATATTTTAGGTTAAAAAGAGGGATTTCTAGGAAAATAAGCGATATTTAAGGGGAAAAACAGGGATTTCTATGGAAATAAGCGATATTTTAGGTTAAAAACAGGGATTTCTATGAAAATAAGCGATATTTTAGGTTAAAAACAGGGATTTCTATGGAAATAAGCGATATTTTAGGTTAAAAACAGGGATTTCTATGAAAATAAGTGATATTTTAGGTTAAAAACAAGGATTTCTATGAAAATAAGCGATATTTAAGGGGAAAAACAGGGATTTCTATGAAAATAAGTGATATTTTAGGTTAAAAACAAGGATTTCTATGAAAATAAGCGATATTTAAGGGGAAAAACACGGATTTCTATGGAAATAAGCGATAATTTAGGTTAAAAACAGGGATTTCTATGAAAATAAGCGATATTTGAGGTTAAAAACAGGGATTTCTATGGAAATAAGCGATATTTGAGGTTAAAAACAGGGATTTCTATGAAAATAAGCGATATTTTAGGTTAAAAACAGGGATTTCTAGGAAAATAAGCGATATTTAAGGGGAAAAACAGGGATTTCTATGAAAATAAGCGATATTTTAGGTTAAAAACAGGGATTTCTATGAAAATAAGCGATATTTTAGGTTAAAAAGAGGGATTTCTAGGAAAATAAGCGATATTTTAGGTTAAAAACAGGGATTTCTATGAAAATAAGCGATAATTAAGGGGAAAAACAGGGATTTCTATGAAAATAAGCGATATTTTAGGTTAAAAACAGGGATTTCTATGGAAATAAGCGATATTTTAGGTTAAAAACAGGGATTTCTATGAAAATAAGCGATATTTGAGGATAAAAACTGGGATTTCTATGAAAATAAGCGATATTTTAGGTTAAAAACAGGGATTTCTATGAAAATAAGCTATATTTTAGGTTAAAAACAGGGATTTCTATGAAAATAAGCGATATTTGAGGTTAAAAACAGGGATTTCTATGAAAATAAGCGATATTTTAGGTTAAAAACAGGGATTTCTATGAAAATAAGCGATATTTAAGGGGAAAAACAGGGATTTCTATGAAAATAAGCGATATTTTAGGTTAAAAACAGGGATTTCTAGGAAAATAAGCGATATTTAGATGATAAAAACAGGGATTTCTATGAAAATAAGCGATATTTAAGGGGAAAAACAGGGATTTCTATGAAAATAAGCGATATTTTAGGTTAAAAACAGGGATTTCTATGGAAATAAGCGATATTTTAGGGGAAAAACAGGGATTTCTATGAAAATAAGCGATATTTAAGGGGAAAAACAGGGATTTCTATGAAAATAAGCGATATTTGAGGATAAAAACTGGGATTTCTATGAAAATAAGCTATATTTTTGGTTAAAAACAGGGATTTCTATGAAAATAAGCGATATTTAAGGGGAAAAACTGGGATTTCTATGAAAATAAGCGATATTTGAGGATAAAAACTGGGATTTCTATGAAAATAAGCGATATTTTAGGTTAAAAACAGGGATTTCTATGAAAATAAGCAATATTTGAGGAAAAACTGGGATTTCTATGAAAATAAGCGATATTTAAGGGGAAAAACAGGGATTTCTAGGAAAATAAGCGATATTTGAGGTTAAAAACAGGGATTTCTATGAAAATAAGTGATATTTTAGGTTAAAAACAGGGATTTCTATGAAAATAAGCGATATTTGAGGTTAAAAACAGGGATTTCTATGAAAATAAGCGATATTTAAGGGGAAAAACAGGGATTTCTATGAAAATAAGTGATATCTTAGGTTAAAAACTGGGATTTCTATGGAAATAAGCGATATTTTAGGTTAAAAACAGGGATTTCTATGAAAATAAGCGATATTTTAGGTTAAAAACAGGGATTTCTATGAAAATAAGTGATATTTTAGGTTAAAAACAGGGATTTCTATGAAAATAAGCGATATTTAAGGGGAAAAACAGGGATTTCTATGAAAATAAGCGATATTTGAGGATAAAAACTGGGATTTCTATGAAAATAAGCGATATTTTAGGTTAAAAACAGGGATTTCTATGAAAATAAGCTATATTTTTGGTTAAAAACAGGGATTTCTATGAAAATAAGCGATATTTGAGGTTAAAAACAGGGATTTCTATGGAAATAAGCGATATTTGAGGTTAAAAACAGGGATTTCTATGAAAATAAGCGATATTTAAGGGGAAAAACAGGGATTTCTATGAAAATAAGCGATATTTGAGGATAAAAACTGGGATTTCTATGAAAATAAGCGATATTTTAGGTTAAAAACAGGGATTTCTATGAAAATAAGCTATATTTTTGGTTAAAAACAGGGATTTCTATGAAAATAAGCGATATTTGAGGTTAAAAACAGGGATTTCTATGAAAATAAGCGATATTTTAGGTTAAAAACAGGGATTTCTATGAAAATAAGCGATATTTAATGGGAAAAACAGGGATTTCTATGAAAATAAGCGATATTTGAGGTTAAAAACAGGGATTTCTAGGAAAATAAGCGATATTTAAGGGGAAAAACAGGGATTTCTATGAAAATAAGCGATATTTGAGGTTAAAAACTGGGATTTCTAGGAAAATAAGCGATATTTTAGGTTAAAAACAGGGATTTCTAGGAAAATAAGCGATATTTAAGGGGAAAAACAGGGATTTCTATGAAAATAAGCGATATTTGAGGTTAAAAACAGGGATTTCTAGGAAAATAAGCGATATTTTAGGTTAAAAACAGGGATTTCTATGAAAATAAGCGATATTTCAGGTTCAAAACAGGGATTTCTATGAAAATAAGTGATATCTTAGGTTAAAAACTGGGATTTCTATGGAAATAAGCGATATTTTAGGTTAAAAACAGGGATTTCTATGAAAATAAGCGATATTTTAGGTTAAAAACAGGGATTTCTATGAAAATAAGTGATATTTTAGGTTAAAAACAGGGATTTCTATGGAAATAAGCGATATTTTAGGTTAAAAACAGGGATTTCTATGAAAATAAGCGATATTTAAGGGGAAAAACAGGGATTTCTATGAAAATAAGCGATATTTGAGGATAAAAACTGGGATTTCTATGAAAATAAGCGATATTTTAGGTTAAAAACAGGGATTTCTATGAAAATAAGCTATATTTTTGGTTAAAAACAGGGATTTCTATGAAAATAAGCGATATTTGAGGTTAAAAACAGGGATTTCTATGGAAATAAGCGATATTTGAGGTTAAAAACAGGGATTTCTATGAAAATAAGCGATATTTAAGGGGAAAAACAGGGATTTCTATGAAAATAAGCGATATTTGAGGATAAAAACTGGGATTTCTATGAAAATAAGCTATATTTTTGGTTAAAAACAGGGATTTCTATGAAAATAAGCGATATTTTAGGTTAAAAACAGGGATTTCTATGAAAATAAGCGATATTTAAGGGGAAAAACAGGGATTTCTATGAAAATAAGCGATATTTGAGGTTAAAAACAGGGATTTCTAGGAAAATAAGCGATATTTGAGGGGAAAAACAGGGATTTCTATGAAAATAAGCGATATTTGAGGTTAAAAACAGGGATTTCTAGGAAAATAAGCGATATTTTAGGTTAAAAACAGGGATTTCTAGGAAAATAAGCGATATTTAAGGGGAAAAACAGGGATTTCTATGAAAATAAGCGATATTTGAGGTTAAAAACAGGGATTTCTAGGAAAATAAGCGATATTTTAGGTTAAAAACAGGGATTTCTATGAAAATAAGCGATATTTAAGGGGAAAAACAGGGATTTCTATGAAAATAAGCGATATTTTAGGTTAAAAACAGGGATTTCTAGGAAAATAAGCGATATTTAGATGATAAAAACAGGGATTTCTATGAAAATAAGCGATATTTAAGGGGAAAAACAGGGATTTCTATGAAAATAAGCGATATTTTAGGTTAAAAACAGGGATTTCTATGGAAATAAGCGATATTTTAGGGGAAAAACAGGGATTTCTATGAAAATAAGCGATATTTAAGGGGAAAAACAGGGATTTCTATGAAAATAAGCGATATTTAAGGGGAAAAACAGGGATTTCTATGAAAAGAAGCGATATTTGAGGTTAAAAACAGGGATTTCTATGAAAATAAGCGATATTTAAGGGGAAAAACTGGGATTTCTATGAAAATAAGCGATATTTGAGGATAAAAACTGGGATTTCTATGAAAATAAGCGATATTTTAGGGGAAAAACAGGGATTTCTATGAAAATAAGCGATATTTTAGGTTAAAAACAAGGATTTCTATGAAAATAAGCGATATTTAAGGGGAAAAACAGGGATTTCTATGGAAATAAGCGATATTTTAGGTTAAAAACAGGGATTTCTATGAAAATAAGCGATATTTTAGGTTAAAAACAGGGATTTCTATGAAAATAAGTGATATTTTAGGTTAAAAACAGGGATTTCTATGAAAATAAGCGATATTTGAGGGGAAAAACAGGGATTTCTATGAAAATAAGCGATATTTTAGGTTAAAAAGAGGGATTTCTAGGAAAATAAGCGATATTTAAGGGGAAAAACAGGGATTTCTATGGAAATAAGCGATATTTTAGGTTAAAAACAGGGATTTCTATGAAAATAAGCGATATTTTAGGTTAAAAACAGGGATTTCTATGGAAATAAGCGATATTTTAGGTTAAAAACAGGGATTTCTATGAAAATAAGTGATATTTTAGGTTAAAAACAAGGATTTCTATGAAAATAAGCGATATTTAAGGGGAAAAACAGGGATTTCTATGAAAATAAGTGATATTTTAGGTTAAAAACAAGGATTTCTATGAAAATAAGCGATATTTAAGGGGAAAAACACGGATTTCTATGGAAATAAGCGATAATTTAGGTTAAAAACAGGGATTTCTATGAAAATAAGCGATATTTGAGGTTAAAAACAGGGATTTCTATGGAAATAAGCGATATTTGAGGTTAAAAACAGGGATTTCTATGAAAATAAGCGATATTTTAGGTTAAAAACAGGGATTTCTAGGAAAATAAGCGATATTTAAGGGGAAAAACAGGGATTTCTATGAAAATAAGCGATATTTTAGGTTAAAAACAGGGATTTCTATGAAAATAAGCGATATTTTAGGTTAAAAAGAGGGATTTCTAGGAAAATAAGCGATATTTTAGGTTAAAAACAGGGATTTCTATGAAAATAAGCGATAATTAAGGGGAAAAACAGGGATTTCTATGAAAATAAGCGATATTTTAGGTTAAAAACAGGGATTTCTATGGAAATAAGCGATATTTTAGGTTAAAAACAGGGATTTCTATGAAAATAAGCGATATTTGAGGATAAAAACTGGGATTTCTATGAAAATAAGCGATATTTTAGGTTAAAAACAGGGATTTCTATGAAAATAAGCTATATTTTAGGTTAAAAACAGGGATTTCTATGAAAATAAGCGATATTTGAGGTTAAAAACAGGGATTTCTATGAAAATAAGCGATATTTTAGGTTAAAAACAGGGATTTCTATGAAAATAAGCGATATTTAAGGGGAAAAACAGGGATTTCTATGAAAATAAGCGATATTTTAGGTTAAAAACAGGGATTTCTAGGAAAATAAGCGATATTTAGATGATAAAAACAGGGATTTCTATGAAAATAAGCGATATTTAAGGGGAAAAACAGGGATTTCTATGAAAATAAGCGATATTTTAGGTTAAAAACAGGGATTTCTATGGAAATAAGCGATATTTTAGGGGAAAAACAGGGATTTCTATGAAAATAAGCGATATTTAAGGGGAAAAACAGGGATTTCTATGAAAATAAGCGATATTTGAGGATAAAAACTGGGATTTCTATGAAAATAAGCTATATTTTTGGTTAAAAACAGGGATTTCTATGAAAATAAGCGATATTTAAGGGGAAAAACTGGGATTTCTATGAAAATAAGCGATATTTGAGGATAAAAACTGGGATTTCTATGAAAATAAGCGATATTTTAGGTTAAAAACAGGGATTTCTATGAAAATAAGCGATATTTTAGGTTAAAAACAAGGATTTCTATGAAAATAAGCGATATTTAAGGGGAAAAACAGGGATTTCTATGGAAATAAGCGATATTTTAGGTTAAAAACAGGGATTTCTATGAAAATAAGCGATATTTTAGGTTAAAAACAGGGATTTCTATGAAAATAAGTGATATTTTAGGTTAAAAACAGGGATTTCTATGAAAATAAGCGATATTTGAGGGGAAAAACAGGGATTTCTATGAAAATAAGCGATATTTTAGGTTAAAAAGAGGGATTTCTAGGAAAATAAGCGATATTTAAGGGGAAAAACAGGGATTTCTATGGAAATAAGCGATATTTTAGGTTAAAAACAGGGATTTCTATGAAAATAAGCGATATTTTAGGTTAAAAACAGGGATTTCTATGGAAATAAGCGATATTTTAGGTTAAAAACAGGGATTTCTATGAAAATAAGTGATATTTTAGGTTAAAAACAAGGATTTCTATGAAAATAAGCGATATTTAAGGGGAAAAACAGGGATTTCTATGAAAATAAGTGATATTTTAGGTTAAAAACAAGGATTTCTATGAAAATAAGCGATATTTAAGGGGAAAAACACGGATTTCTATGGAAATAAGCGATAATTTAGGTTAAAAACAGGGATTTCTATGAAAATAAGTGATATTTGAGGTTAAAAACAGGGATTTCTATGGAAATAAGCGATATTTGAGGTTAAAAACAGGGATTTCTATGAAAATAAGCGATATTTTAGGTTAAAAACAGGGATTTCTAGGAAAATAAGCGATATTTAAGGGGAAAAACAGGGATTTCTATGAAAATAAGCGATATTTTAGGTTAAAAACAGGGATTTCTATGAAAATAAGCGATATTTTAGGTTAAAAAGAGGGATTTCTAGGAAAATAAGCGATATTTTAGGTTAAAAACAGGGATTTCTATGAAAATAAGCGATAATTAAGGGGAAAAACAGGGATTTCTATGAAAATAAGCGATATTTTAGGTTAAAAACAGGGATTTCTATGAAAATAAGCGATATTTAAGGGGAAAAACAGGGATTTCTATGAAAATAAGCGATATTTTAGGTTAAAAACAGGGATTTCTATGAAAATAAGTGATATTTTAGGTTAAAAACAAGGATTTCTATGAAAATAAGCGATATTTAAGGGGAAAAACAGGGATTTCTATGGAAATAAGCGATATTTTAGGTTAAAAACAGGGATTTCTATGAAAATAAGCGATATTTAAGGGGAAAAACAGGGATTTCTATGAAAATAAGTGATATTTTAGGTTAAAAACAAGGATTTCTATGAAAATAAGCGATATTTAAGGGGAAAAACAGGGATTTCTATGGAAATAAGCGATATTTTAGGTTAAAAACAGGGATTTCTATGAAAATAAGCGATATTTTAGGTTAAAAACAGGGATTTCTATGAAAACAAGCGATATTTAAGGGGAAAAACAGGGATTTCTATGAAAATAAGCGATATTTAATGGGAAAAACAGGGATTTCTATGAAAATAAGCGATATTTGAGGTTAAAAACAGGGATTTCTATGAAAATAAGCGATATTTAAGGGGAAAAACAGGGATTTCTATGAAAATAAGCGATATTTGAGGTTAAAAACAGGGATTTCTATGAAAATAAGCGATATTTGAGGTTAAAAACAGGGATTTCTAGGAAAATAAGCGATATTTTAGGTTAAAAACAGGGATTTCTAGGAAAATAAGCGATATTTAAGGGGAAAAACAGGGATTTCTATGAAAATAAGCGATATTTGAGGTTAAATACAGGGATTTCTAGGAAAATAAGCGATATTTTAGGTTAAAAACAGGGATTTCTATGGAAATAAGCGATATTTAAGGGGAAAAACAGGGATTTCTATGAAAATAAGCGATATTTTAGGTTAAAAACAGGGATTTCTATGAAAATAAGCGATATTTAAGGTTAAAAACAGGGATTTCTATGAAAATAAGCGATATTTAAGGGGAAAAACAGGGATTTCTATGAAAATAAGCGATATTTGAGGTTAAAAACAGGGATTTCTATGGAAATAAGCGATATTTTAGGTTAAAAACAGGGATTTCTATGAAAATAAGCGATATTTAAGGGGAAAAACAGGGATTTCTATGAAAATAAGCGATATTTAAGGGGAAAAACAGGGATTTCTATGAAAAGAAGCGATATTTGAGGTTAAAAACAGGGATTTCTATGAAAATAAGCGATATTTAAGGGGAAAAACAGGGATTTCTATGAAAATAAGCGATATTTAAGGTTAAAAACAGGGATTTCTATGAAAATAAGCGATATTTGAGGTTAAAAACTGGGATTTCTATGAAAATAAGCGATATTTTAGGTTAAAAACAGGGATTTCTATGAAAATAAGCGATATTTTAGGTTAAAAACAAGGATTTCTATGAAAATAAGCGATATTTAAGGTTAAAAACAGGGATTTCTATGGAAATAAGCAATATTTTAGGTTAAAAACAGGGATTTCTATGAAAATAAGCGATATTTTAGGTTAAAAACAGGGATTTCTATGAAAATAAGTGATATTTTAGGTTAAAAACAGGGATTTCTATGAAAATAAGCGATATTTGAGGTTAAAAACAGGGATTTCTATGGAAATAAGCGATATTTTAGGTTAAAAACAGGGATTTCTATGAAAATAAGCGATATTTTAGGTTAAAAAGAGGGATTTCTAGGAAAATAAGCGATATTTAAGGGGAAAAACAGGGATTTCTATGGAAATAAGCGATATTTGAGGTTAAAAACAGGGATTTCTATGAAAATAAGCGATATTTTAGGTTAAAAACAGGGATTTCTATGGAAATAAGCGATATTTTAGGTTAAAAACAGGGATTTCTATGAAAGTAAGTGATATTTTAGGTTAAAAACAAGGATTTCTATGAAAATAAGCGATATTTAAGGGGAAAAACAGGGATTTCTATGAAAATAAGTGATAGGTTAAAAACAAGGATTTCTATGAAAATAAGCGATATTTAAGGGGAAAAACAGGGATTTCTATGGAAATAAGCGATATTTTAGGTTAAAAACAGGGATTTCTATGAAAACAAGCGATATTTAAGGGGAAAAACAGGGATTTCTATGAAAATAAGCTATATTTTTGGTTAAAAACAGGGATTTCTATGAAAATAAGCGATATTTGAGGTTAAAAACAGGGATTTCTATGAAAATAAGCGATATTTTAGGTTAAAAACAGGGATTTCTATGAAAATAAGCGATATTTTAGGTTAAAAAGAGGGATTTCTAGGAAAATAAGCGATATTTTAGGTTAAAAACAGGGATTTCTATGAAAATAAGCGATAATTAAGGGGAAAAACAGGGATTTCTATGAAAATAAGCGATATTTAAGGGGAAAAACAGGGATTTCTATGGAAATAAGCGATATCTTAGGTTAAAAACAGGGATTTCTATGAAAATAAGCGATATTTGAGGATAAAAACCGGGATTTCTATGAAAATAAGCGATATCTTAGGTTAAAAACAGGGATTTCTATGAAAATAAGCTATATTTTAGGTTAAAAACAGGGATTTCTATGAAAATAAGCGATATTTGAGGTTAAAAACAGGGATTTCTATGAAAATAAGCGATATTTTAGGTTAAAAACAGGGATTTCTATGAAAACAAGCGATATTTAAGGGGAAAAACAGGGATTTCTATGAAAATAAGCGATATTTTAGGTTAAAAACAGGGATTTCTAGGAAAATAAGCGATATTTAAGGGGAAAAACAGGGATTTCTATGAAAATAAGCGATATTTTAGGTTAAAAACAGGGATTTCTATGAAAATAAGTGATATTTTAGGTTAAAAACAAGGATTTCTAGGAAAATAAGCGATATTTTAGGTTAAAAACAGGGATTTCTATGAAAATAAGCGATATTTAAGGGGAAAAACAGGGATTTCTATGAAAATAAGTGATATTTTAGGTTAAAAACAAGGATTTCTATGAAAATAAGCGATATTTAAGGGGAAAAACAGGGATTTCTATGGAAATAAGCGATATTTTAGGTTAAAAACAGGGATTTCTATGAAAATAAGCGATATTTTAGGTTAAAAACAGGGATTTCTATGGAAATAAGCGATATTTTAGGTTAAAAAGAGGGATTTCTAGGAAAATAAGCGATATTTTAGGTTAAAAACAGGGATTTCTATGAAAATAAGCGATATTTGAGGTTAAAAACTGGGATTTCTATGAAAATAAGCGATATTTTAGGTTAAAAACAGGGATTTCTATGGAAATAAGCGATATTTTAGGTTAAAAACAGGGATTTCTATGAAAATAAGCGATATTTAAGGGGAAAAACAGGGATTTCTATGGAAATAAGCGATATTTGAGGATAAAAACTGGGATTTCTATGAAAATAAGCGATATTTTAGGTTAAAAACAGGGATTTCTATGGAAATAAGCGATATTTTAGGTTAAAAACAGGGATTTCTATGAAAGTAAGTGATATTTTAGGTTAAAAACAAGGATTTCTATGAAAATAAGCGATATTTAAGGGGAAAAACAGGGATTTCTATGAAAATAAGTGATATCTTAGGTTAAAAACAAGGATTTCTATGAAAATAAGCGATATTTAAGGGGAAAAACAGGGATTTCTATGGAAATAAGCGATATTTTAGGTTAAAAACAGGGATTTCTATGAAAATAAGCGATATTTAAGGGGAAAAACAGGGATTTCTATGAAAATAAGCGATATTTTAGGTTAAAAACAAGGAATTTCTATGAAAATAAGCGATATTTTAGGTTAAAAACAGGGATTTCTATGAAAATAAGCGATATTTTAGGTTAAAAACAGGGATTTCTATGAAAATAAGCGATATTTTAGGTTAAAAAGAGGGATTTCTAGGAAAATAAGCGATATTTTAGGTTAAAAACAGGGATTTCTATGAAAATAAGCGATAATTAAGGGGAAAAACAGGGATTTCTATGAAAATAAGCGATATTTAAGGGGAAAAACAGGGATTTCTATGGAAATAAGCGATATTTTAGGTTAAAAACAGGGATTTCTATGAAAATAAGCGATATTTGAGGATAAAAACTGGGATTTCTAAGAAAATAAGCGATATCTTAGGTTAAAAACAGGGATTTCTATGAAAATAAGCTATATTTGAGGTTAAAAACAGGGATTTCTATGAAAATAAGCGATATTTGAGGTTAAAAACAGGGATTTCTATGAAAATAAGCGATATTTTAGGTTAAAAACAGGGATTTCTCTGAAAACAAGCGATATTTAAGGGGAAAAACAGGGATTTCTATGAAAATAAGTGATATTTTAGGTTAAAAACAGGGATTTCTAGGAAAATAAGCGATATTTAAGGGGAAAAACAGGGATTTCTATGAAAATAAGCGATATTTTAGGTTAAAAACAGGGATTTCTATGAAAATAAGTGATATTTTAGGTTAAAAACAAGGATTTCTAGGAAAATAAGCGATATTTTAGGTTAAAAACAGGGATTTCTATGAAAATAAGCGATATTTAAGGGGAAAAACAGGGATTTCTATGAAAATAAGTGATATTTTAGGTTAAAAACAAGGATTTCTATGAAAATAAGCGATATTTAAGGGGAAAAACAGGGATTTCTATGGAAATAAGCGATATTTTAGGTTAAAAACAGGGATTTCTATGAAAATAAGCGATATTTTAGGTTAAAAACAGGGATTTCTATGGAAATAAGCGATATTTTAGGTTAAAAAGAGGGATTTCTAGGAAAATAAGCGATATTTTAGGTTAAAAACAGGGATTTCTATGAAAATAAGCGATATTTGAGGTTAAAAACTGGGATTTCTATGAAAATAAGCGATATTTTAGGTTAAAAACAGGGATTTCTATGAAAATAAGCGATATTTGAGGTTAAAAACAGGGATTTCTATGAAAATAAGCGATATTTAAGGGGAAAAACAGGGATTTCTATGGAAATAAGCGATATTTGAGGATAAAAACAGGGATTTCTATGGAAATAAGCGATATTTTAGGTTAAAAACAGGGATTTCTATGAAAATAAGCTATATTTTTGGTTAAAAAGAGGGATTTCTAGGAAAATAAGCGATATTTTAGGTTAAAAACAGGGATTTCTATGAAAATAAGCGATATTTTAGGTTAAAAACAGGGATTTCTATGAAAACAAGCGATATTTAAGGGGAAAAACAGGGATTTCTATGAAAATAAGCGATATTTGAGGTTAAAAACAGGGATTTCTAGGAAAATAAGCGATAATTAAGGGGAAAAACAGGGATTTCTATGAAAATAAGCGATATTTTAGGTTAAAAACAGGGATTTCTATGAAAATAAGCGATATCTTAGGTTAAAAACAGGGATTTCTATGAAAATAAGCGATATTTAAGGGGAAAAACAGGGATTTCTATGGAAATAAGCGATATTTTAGGTTAAAAACAGGGATTTCTATGAAAATAAGCGATATTTAAGGGGAAAAACAGGGATTTCTATGAAAATAAGCGATATTTTAGGTTAAAAACAAGGAATTTCTATGAAAATAAGCGATATTTTAGGTTAAAAACAGGGATTTCTATGAAAATAAGCGATATTTTAGGTTAAAAAGAGGGATTTCTAGGAAAATAAGCGATATTTTAGGTTAAAAACAGGGATTTCTATGAAAATAAGCGATAATTAAGGGGAAAAACAGGGATTTCTATGAAAATAAGCGATATTTTAGGTTAAAAACAGGGATTTCTATGGAAATAAGCGATATTTTAGGTTAAAAACAGGGATTTCTATGAAAATAAGCGATATTTGAGGATAAAAACTGGGATTTCTATGAAAATAAGCGATATTTTAGGTTAAAAACAGGGATTTCTATGAAAATAAGCTATATTTTAGGTTAAAAACAGGGATTTCTATGAAAATAAGCAATATTTGAGGTTAAAAACAGGGATTTCTATGAAAATAAGCGATATTTTAGGTTAAAAACTGGGATTTCTATGAAAACAAGCGATATTTAAGGGGAAAAACAGGGATTTCTATGAAAATAAGCGATATTTTAGGTTAAAAACAGGGATTTCTAGGAAAATAAGCGATATTTAAGGGGAAAAACAGGGATTTCTATGGAAATAAGCGATATTTTAGGTTAAAAACAGGGATTTCTATGAAAATAAGTGATATTTGAGGTTAAAAACAAGGATTTCTAGGAAAATAAGCGATATTTTAGGTTAAAAACAAGGAATTTCTATGAAAATAAGCGATATTTAAGGGGAAAAACAGGGATTTCTATGAAAATAAGTGATATTTTAGGTTAAAAACAAGGATTTCTATGAAAATAAGCGATATTTAAGGGGAAAAACAGGGATTTCTATGGAAATAAGCGATATTTTAGGTTAAAAACAGGGATTTCTATGAAAATAAGCGATATTTTAGGTTAAAAACAGGGATTTCTATGAAAATAAGTGATATTTGAGGTTAAAAACAGGGATTTCTATGAAAATAAGCGATATTTGAGGGGAAAAACAGGGATTTCTATGAAAATAAGCGATATTTTAGGTTAAAAAGAGGGATTTCTAGGAAAATAAGCGATATTTAAGGGGAAAAACAGGGATTTCTATGGAAATAAGCGATATTTTAGGTTAAAAACAGGGATTTCTATGAAAATAAGCGATATTTTAGGTTAAAAACAGGGATTTCTATGGAAATAAGCGATATTTGAGGTTAAAAACAGGGATTTCTATGAAAATAAGCGATATTTCAGGTTCAAAACAGGGATTTCTAGGAAAATAAGTGATATCTTAGGTTAAAAACTGGGATTTCTATGGAAATAAGCGATATTTTAGGTTAAAAACAAGGATTTCTATGAAAATAAGCGATATTTAAGGGGAAAAACAGGGATTTCTATGGAAATAAGCGATAATTTAGGTTAAAAACAGGGATTTCTATGAAAATAAGCGATATTTGAGGTTAAAAACAGGGATTTCTATGGAAATAAGCGATATTTGAGGTTAAAAACAGGGATTTCTATGAAAATAAGCGATATTTTAGGTTAAAAACAGGGATTTCTAGGAAAATAAGCGATATTTAAGGGGAAATACAGGGATTTCTATGAAAATAAGCAATATTTTAGGTTAAAAACAGGGATTTCTATGAAAATAAGCGATATTTTAGGTTAAAAAGAGGGATTTCTAGGAAAATAAGCGATATTTTAGGTTAAAAACAGGGATTTCTATGAAAATAAGCGATAATTAAGGGGAAAAACAGGGATTTCTATGAAAATAAGCGATATTTTAGGTTAAAAACAGGGATTTCTATGAAAATAAGCGATATTTGAGGTTAAAAACAGGGATTTCTATGAAAATAAGCTATATTTTAGGTTAAAAACAGGGATTTCTATGAAAATAAGCGATATTTGAGGTTAAAAACAGGGATTTCTATGAAAATAAGCGATATTTTAGGTTAAAAACAGGGATTTCTATGAAAACAAGCGATATTTAAGGGGAAAAACAGGGATTTCTATGAAAATAAGCGATATTTTAGGTTAAAAACAGGGATTTCTATGAAAATAAGCGATATTTAAGGGGAAAAACAGGGATTTCTATGAAAATAAGCGATATTTTAGGTTAAAAACAGGGATTTCTATGAAAATAAGTGATATTTTAGGTTAAAAACAAGGATTTCTATGAAAATAAGCGATATTTAAGGGGAAAAACAGGGATTTCTATGGAAATAAGCGATATTTTAGGTTAAAAACAGGGATTTCTATGAAAATAAGCGATATTTAAGGGGAAAAACAGGGATTTCTATGAAAATAAGTGATATTTTAGGTTAAAAACAAGGATTTCTATGAAAATAAGCGATATTTAAGGGGAAAAACAGGGATTTCTATGGAAATAAGCGATATTTTAGGTTAAAAACAGGGATTTCTATGAAAATAAGCGATATTTTAGGTTAAAAACAGGGATTTCTATGAAAATAAGCGATATTTAAGGGGAAAAACAGGGATTTCTATGGAAATAAGCGATATTTAATGGGAAAAACAGGGATTTCTATGAAAATAAGCGATATTTGAGGTTAAAAACAGGGATTTCTAGGAAAATAAGCGATATTTAAGGGGAAAAACAGGGATTTCTATGAAAATAAGCGATATTTGAGGTTAAAAACAGGGATTTCTAGGAAAATAAGCGATATTTGAGGTTAAAAACAGGGATTTCTAGGAAAATAAGCGATATTTAAGGGGAAAAACAGGGATTTCTATGAAAATAAGCGATATTTGAGGTTAAATACAGGGATTTCTAGGAAAATAAGCGATATTTTAGGTTAAAAACAGGGATTTCTATGGAAATAAGCGATATTTAAGGGGAAAAACAGGGATTTCTATGAAAATAAGCGATATTTTAGGTTAAAAACAGGGATTTCTATGAAAATAAGCGATATTTAAGGTTAAAAACAGGGATTTCTATGAAAATAAGCGTTATTTAAGGGGAAAAACAGGGATTTCTATGAAAATAAGCGATATTTGAGGTTAAAAACAGGGATTTCTATGAAAATAAGCGATATTTTAGGTTAAAAACAGGGATTTCTATGAAAATAAGCGATATTTAAGGGGAAAAACAGGGATTTCTATGAAAATAAGCGATATTTATGGGGAAAAACAGGGATTTCTATGGAAATAAGCGATATTTTAGGTTAAAAACAGGGATTTCTAGGAAAATAAGCGATATTTAAGGGGAAAAACAGGGATTTCTATGGAAATAAGCGATATTTTAGGTTAAAAACAGGGATTTCTATGAAAATAAGTGATATTTGAGGTTAAAAACAAGGATTTCTAGGAAAATAAGCGATATTTTAGGTTAAAAACAAGGAATTTCTATGAAAATAAGCGATATTTAAGGGGAAAAACAGGGATTTCTATGAAAATAAGTGATATTTTAGGTTAAAAACAAGGATTTCTATGAAAATAAGCGATATTTAAGGGGAAAAACAGGGATTTCTATGGAAATAAGCGATATTTTAGGTTAAAAACAGGGATTTCTATGAAAATAAGCGATATTTTAGGTTAAAAACAGGGATTTCTATGAAAATAAGTGATATTTGAGGTTAAAAACAGGGATTTCTATGAAAATAAGCGATATTTGAGGGGAAAAACAGGGATTTCTATGAAAATAAGCGATATTTTAGGTTAAAAAGAGGGATTTCTAGGAAAATAAGCGATATTTAAGGGGAAAAACAGGGATTTCTATGGAAATAAGCGATATTTTAGGTTAAAAACAGGGATTTCTATGAAAATAAGCGATATTTTAGGTTAAAAACAGGGATTTCTATGGAAATAAGCGATATTTGAGGTTAAAAACAGGGATTTCTATGAAAATAAGCGATATTTCAGGTTCAAAACAGGGATTTCTAGGAAAATAAGTGATATCTTAGGTTAAAAACTGGGATTTCTATGGAAATAAGCGATATTTTAGGTTAAAAACAAGGATTTCTATGAAAATAAGCGATATTTAAGGGGAAAAACACGGATTTCTATGGAAATAAGCGATAATTTAGGTTAAAAACAGGGATTTCTATGAAAATAAGCGATATTTGAGGTTAAAAACAGGGATTTCTATGGAAATAAGCGATATTTGAGGTTAAAAACAGGGATTTCTATGAAAATAAGCGATATTTTAGGTTAAAAACAGGGATTTCTAGGAAAATAAGCGATATTTAAGGGGAAATACAGGGATTTCTATGAAAATAAGCAATATTTTAGGTTAAAAACAGGGATTTCTATGAAAATAAGCGATATTTTAGGTTAAAAAGAGGGATTTCTAGGGAAAATAAGCGATATTTTAGGTTAAAAACAGGGATTTCTATGAAAATAAGCGATAATTAAGGGGAAAAACAGGGATTTCTATGAAAATAAGCGATATTTTAGGTTAAAAACAGGGATTTCTATGAAAATAAGCGATATTTGAGGTTAAAAACAGGGATTTCTATGAAAATAAGCTATATTTTAGGTTAAAAACAGGGATTTCTATGAAAATAAGCGATATTTGAGGTTAAAAACAGGGATTTCTATGAAAATAAGCGATATTTTAGGTTAAAAACAGGGATTTCTATGAAAATAAGCGATATTTAAGGGGAAAAACAGGGATTTCTATGAAAATAAGCGATATTTTAGGTTAAAAACAGGGATTTCTATGAAAATAAGCGATATTTAAGGGGAAAAACAGGGATTTCTATGAAAATAAGCGATATTTTAGGTTAAAAACAGGGATTTCTATGAAAATAAGTGATATTTTAGGTTAAAAACAAGGATTTCTATGAAAATAAGCGATATTTAAGGGGAAAAACAGGGATTTCTATGGAAATAAGCGATATTTTAGGTTAAAAACAGGGATTTCTATGAAAATAAGCGATATTTAAGGGGAAAAACAGGGATTTCTATGAAAATAAGTGATATTTTAGGTTAAAAACAAGGATTTCTATGAAAATAAGCGATATTTAAGGGGAAAAACAGGGATTTCTATGGAAATAAGCGATATTTTAGGTTAAAAACAGGGATTTCTATGAAAATAAGCGATATTTTAGGTTAAAAACAGGGATTTCTATGAAAATAAGCGATATTTTAGGTTAAAAACAGGGATTTCTAGGAAAATAAGCGATATTTAATGGGAAAAACAGGGATTTCTATGAAAATAAGCGATATTTGAGGTTAAAAACAGGGATTTCTAGGAAAATAAGCGATATTTAAGGGGAAAAACAGGGATTTCTATGAAAATAAGCGATATTTGAGGTTAAAAACAGGGATTTCTAGGAAAATAAGCGATATTTGAGGTTAAAAACAGGGATTTCTAGGAAAATAAGCGATATTTAAGGGGAAAAACAGGGATTTCTATGAAAATAAGCGATATTTGAGGTTAAATACAGGGATTTCTAGGAAAATAAGCGATATTTTAGGTTAAAAACAGGGATTTCTATGGAAATAAGCGATATTTAAGGGGAAAAACAGGGATTTCTATGAAAATAAGCGATATTTTAGGTTAAAAACAGGGATTTCTATGAAAATAAGCGATATTTAAGGTTAAAAACAGGGATTTCTATGAAAATAAGCGTTATTTAAGGGGAAAAACAGGGATTTCTATGAAAATAAGCGATATTTGAGGTTAAAAACAGGGATTTCTATGAAAATAAGCGATATTTTAGGTTAAAAACAGGGATTTCTATGAAAATAAGCGATATTTAAGGGGAAAAACAGGGATTTCTATGAAAATAAGCGATATTTATGGGGAAAAACAGGGATTTCTATGAAAAGAAGCGATATTTGAGGTTAAAAACAGGGATTTCTATGAAAATAAGCGATATTTAAGGGGAAAAACAGGGATTTCTATGAAAATAAGCGATATTTAAGGTTAAAAACAGGGATTTCTATGAAAATAAGCGATATTTGAGGATAAAAACTGGGATTTCTATGAAAATAAGCGATATTTTAGGTTAAAAACAGGGATTTCTATGAAAATAAGCGATATTTTAGGTTAAAAACAAGGATTTCTATGAAAATAAGCGATATTTAAGGGGAAAAACAGGGATTTCTATGGAAATAAGCGATATTTTAGGTTAAAAACAGGGATTTCTATGAAAATAAGCGATATTTTAGGTTAAAAACAGGGATTTCTATGAAAATAAGTGATATTTTAGGTTAAAAACAGGGATTTCTATGAAAATAAGCGATATTTGAGGTTAAAAACAGGGATTTCTATGGAAATAAGCGATATTTTAGGTTAAAAACAGGGATTTCTATGAAAATAAGCGATATTTTAGGTTAAAAAGAGGGATTTCTAGGAAAATAAGCGATATTTGAGGTTAAAAACAGGGATTTCTATGGAAATAAGCGATATTTGAGGTTAAAAACAGGGATTTCTATGAAAATAAGCGATATTTTAGGTTAAAAACAGGGATTTCTATGGAAATAAGCGATATTTTAGGTTAAAAACAGGGATTTCTATGAAAGTAAGTGATATTTTAGGTTAAAAACAAGGATTTCTATGAAAATAAGCGATATTTAAGGGGAAAAACAGGGATTTCTATGAAAATAAGTGATATCTTAGGTTAAAAACAAGGATTTCTATGAAAATAAGCGATATTTAAGGGGAAAAACAGGGATTTCTATGAAAATAAGCGATATTTTAGGTTAAAAACAGGGAATTTCTATGAAAATAAGCGATATTTTAGGTTAAAAACAGGGATTTCTATGAAAATAAGCGATATTTTAGGTTAAAAAGAGGGATTTCTAGGAAAATAAGCGATATTTTAGGTTAAAAACAGGGATTTCTAGGAAAATAAGCGATAATTAAGGGGAAAAACAGGGATTTCTATGAAAATAAGTGATATTTTAGGTTAAAAACAGGGATTTCTATGGAAATAAGCGATATTTAAGGGGAAAAACAGGGATTTCTATGAAAATAAGCGATATTTTAGGTTAAAAACAGGGATTTCTATGAAAATAAGCGATATTTAAGGTTAAAAACAGGGATTTCTATGAAAATAAGCGTTATTTAAGGGGAAAAACAGGGATTTCTATGAAAATAAGCGATATTTGAGGTTAAAAACAGGGATTTCTATGAAAATAAGCGATATTTTAGGTTAAAAACAGGGATTTCTATGAAAATAAGCGATATTTAAGGGGAAAAACAGGGATTTCTATGAAAATAAGCGATATTTATGGGGAAAAACAGGGATTTCTATGAAAAGAAGCGATATTTGAGGTTAAAAACAGGGATTTCTATGAAAATAAGCGATATTTAAGGGGAAAAACAGGGATTTCTATGAAAATAAGCGATATTTAAGGTTAAAAACAGGGATTTCTATGAAAATAAGCGATATTTGAGGATAAAAACTGGGATTTCTATGAAAATAAGCGATATTTTAGGTTAAAAACAGGGATTTCTATGAAAATAAGCGATATTTTAGGTTAAAAACAAGGATTTCTATGAAAATAAGCGATATTTAAGGGGAAAAACAGGGATTTCTATGGAAATAAGCGATATTTTAGGTTAAAAACAGGGATTTCTATGAAAATAAGCGATATTTTAGGTTAAAAACAGGGATTTCTATGAAAATAAGTGATATTTTAGGTTAAAAACAGGGATTTCTATGAAAATAAGCGATATTTGAGGTTAAAAACAGGGATTTCTATGGAAATAAGCGATATTTTAGGTTAAAAACAGGGATTTCTATGAAAATAAGCGATATTTTAGGTTAAAAAGAGGGATTTCTAGGAAAATAAGCGATATTTAAGGGGAAAAACAGGGATTTCTATGGAAATAAGCGATATTTGAGGTTAAAAACAGGGATTTCTATGAAAATAAGCGATATTTTAGGTTAAAAACAGGGATTTCTATGGAAATAAGCGATATTTTAGGTTAAAAACAGGGATTTCTATGAAAGTAAGTGATATTTTAGGTTAAAAACAAGGATTTCTATGAAAATAAGCGATATTTAAGGGGAAAAACAGGGATTTCTATGAAAATAAGTGATATCTTAGGTTAAAAACAGGGATTTCTATGAAAATAAGCGATATTTAAGGGGAAAAACAGGGATTTCTATGGAAATAAGCGATATTTTAGGTTAAAAACAGGGATTTCTATGAAAATAAGCGATAGTTGAGGTTAAAAACAGGGATTTCTAGGAAAATAAGCGATATTTAAGGGGAAAAACAGGGATTTCTATGAAAATAAGCGATATTTAAGGGGAAAAACAGGGATTTCTATGGAAATAAGCGATATTTAAGGGGAAAAACAGGGATTTCTATGAAAATAAGCGATATTTGAGGTTAAAAACTGGGATTTCTATGAAAATAAGCGATATTTAAGGGGAAAAACAGGGATTTCTATGAAAATAAGCGATATTTGAGGATAAAAACTGGGATTTCTATGAAAATAAGCGATATTTTAGGTTAAAAACTGGGATTTCAATGGAAATAAGTGATATTTTAGGTTAAAAACAGGGATTTCTATGAAAATAAGCGATATTTGAGGTTAAAAACAGGGATTTCTATGAAAATAAGCGATATTTTAGGTTAAAAACAGGGATTTCTATGAAAACAAGCGATATTTGAGGGGAAAAACAGGGATTTCTATGAAAATAAGCGATATTTTAGGTTAAAAACAGGGATTTCTAGGAAAATAAGCGATATTTAAGGGGAAAAACAGGGATTTCTATGAAAATAAGCGATATTTGAGGTTAAAAACAGGGATTTCTATGAAAATAAGTGATATTTTAGGTTAAAAACAAGGATTTCTAGGAAAATAAGCGATATTTTAGGTTAAAAACAGGGATTTCTATGAAAATAAGCGATATTTAAGGGGAAAAACAGGGATTTCTATGAAAATAAGCGATATTTTAGGTTAAAAACAAGGATTTCTATGAAAATAAGCGATATTTAAGGGGAAAAACAGGGATTTCTATGGAAATAAGCGATATTTTAGGTTAAAAACAGGGATTTCTATGAAAATAAGCGATATTTTAGGTTAAAAACAGGGATTTCTATGGAAATAAGCGATATTTTAGGTTAAAAAGAGGGATTTCTATGAAAATAAGCGATATTTGAGGTTAAAAACAGGGATTTCTATGAAAATAAGCGATATTTTAGGTTAAAAAGAGGGATTTCTAGGAAAATAAGCGATATTTTAGGTTAAAAACAGGGATTTCTATGAAAATAAGCGATATTTTAGGTTAAAAACAGGGATTTCTATGGAAATAAGCGATATTTTAGGTTAAAAACAGGGATTTCTATGAAAATAAGCGATATTTAAGGGGAAAAACAGGGATTTCTATGGAAATAAGCGATATTTGAGGATAAAAAACTGGGATTTCTATGAAAATAAGCGATATTTTAGGTTAAAAACAGGGATTTCTATGAAAATAAGCTATATTTTTGGTTAAAAACAGGGATTTCTATGAAAATAAGCGATATTTGAGGTTAAAAACAGGGATTTCTATGAAAATAAGCGATATTTTAGGTTAAAAACAGGGATTTCTATGAAAACAAGCGATATTTAAGGGGGAAAAACAGGGATTTCTATGAAAATAAGCGATATTTGAGGTTAAAAACAGGGATTTCTATGAAAATAAGCTATATTTTAGGTTAAAAACAGGGATTTCTATGAAAATAAGCAATATTTTAGGTTAAAAACAGGGATTTCTATGAAAATAAGCGATATCTTAGGTTAAAAACAGGGATTTCTATGAAAATAAGCGATATTTAAGGGGAAAAACAGGGATTTCTATGGAAATAAGCGATATTTTAGGTTAAAAACAGGGATTTCTATGAAAATAAGCGATATTTAAGGGGAAAAACAGGGATTTCTATGAAAATAAGCGATATTTTAGGTTAAAAACAAGGAATTTCTATGAAAATAAGCGATATTTTAGGTTAAAAACAGGGATTTCTATGAAAATAAGCGATATTTTAGGTTAAAAACAGGGATTTCTATGAAAATAAGCGATATTTTAGGTTAAAAAGAGGGATTTCTAGGAAAATAAGCGATATTTTAGGTTAAAAACAGGGATTTCTATGAAAATAAGCGATAATTAAGGGGAAAAACAGGGATTTCTATGAAAATAAGCGATATTTTAGGTTAAAAACAGGGATTTCTATGGAAATAAGCGATATTTTAGGTTAAAAACAGGGATTTCTATGAAAATAAGCGATATTTGAGGATAAAAACTGGGATTTCTATGAAAATAAGCGATATTTTAGGTTAAAAACAGGGATTTCTATGAAAATAAGCTATATTTTAGGTTAAAAACAGGGATTTCTATGAAAATAAGCAATATTTGAGGTTAAAAACAGGGATTTCTATGAAAATAAGCGATATTTTAGGTTAAAAACAGGGATTTCTATGAAAACAAGCGATATTTAAGGGGAAAAACAGGGATTTCTATGAAAATAAGCGATATTTTAGGTTAAAAACAGGGATTTCTAGGAAAATAAGCGATATTTAAGGGAAAAACAGGGATTTCTATGGAAATAAGCGATATTTTAGGTTAAAAACAGGGATTTCTATGAAAATAAGTGATATTTGAGGTTAAAACAAGGATTTCTAGGAAAATAAGCGATATTTTAGGTTAAAAACAAGGATTTCTATGAAAATAAGCGATATTTAAGGGGAAAAACAGGGATTTCTATGATAATAAGTGATATTTTAGGTTAAAAACAAGGATTTCTATGAAAATAAGCGATATTTAAGGGGAAAAACAGGGATTTCTATGGAAATAAGCGATATTTTAGGTTAAAAACAGGGATTTCTATGAAAATAAGCGATATTTTAGGTTAAAAACAGGGATTTCTATGGAAATAAGCGATATTTTAG